TTCCTGGTTATCTCAATATGATTAGTTTATCTGTGCATAAATTGAAGTTTTGTGACTTCAATAAAAAAAAAGGAGTAACCATTATGGAGAATATCTGGCTTAAGATGTCTGGCGTATGGATAATAAAAGGTTTGAAATCCCGTTAAACAGCAGAAAAAAGACTGGTTCCCGGCGGTACCTCAGTTGTCTTCTTGGCTGCGCCCGAATGTCTTGGCTATGGCCGGTGCTATTAAGCGCAAGCTGACAGTAGTCGTAGCCGCAGCTCTGTAGGCCGTTTTAGGCTATAAAATACTCAACGATTGGTGGCGCTTTAGCCCAGTGGGCACAGCTGTTTGATTAATTCGAGCTCTCATTGGACAGATTTCGTGACCTGGTGTCAGTCGTGCGCATGCTTACAGAATGAACATCCATAGATTATATGTAGCAGTTATTTTACCCACATTTCTTTGCGTTTCCTTCACATTAGTTTGAGAAGGAAATCATGCTTTTCTTACAACGTGTGAGTTCGTAAAAACTACGTACACAACTGCCTCCAAACTGAAATTGGCGCAACGCAATGTCACCGATCACGGGGCAAATGGCGTTTTTGCTCGGAGGCGCACTAGGCCCAGGCTCCGCTCGCTCGGGCGCGCGCGCGGAAAAAAAGTCAATAACGCCGCCATTGCATGAGAACAATCTGCGCCAAGCGCGCTTTGTAATTTGATTACACAGGAATAACTGCCGAAAAACAACTGAATCAACAGCCGCGGTTCTTCATTATGCAATGATTTCGTTAGAATAGCGACTGGAATGCACGGGGATATAATAAGCGGTGTGTCCGTCGAGGAGAACACCGATGGGTATGTGTTCAGCCACGCGAAGGGAAAATAAAATGGCTAGCCAGGCAATATTGACTCAAAAGTATGGGGGAAGGGAGTGACAGAATCAATCACGTGATGTGTCAGGTGGGATGAACAAGGATCCTTGGAAACTCAAGAGGAAAGTTACCACTATACCAAGTGACCGCCCGATACTTACCAACAAAGCCTGTTTTACCGGCGGCCTACTCAGGATCCCTTCCAAAGGCAAATTCAAAGTGAGCCATGATTTGGGACTTTCCTGACACTATGTTTGAACAATTATTATAATCGTTCACCCTTAATGATTGAAAACATGATTTAGTTGTTTTATTTATAAGCTGTGCATTTTAATTAATAAATGTAAAATTAATTTAATTATTAAATCTTTTAAGGAGTCTATATGTGTTTGTCAATTGACAGGACTACACCAGAAACCTCCACAATGAATCCGGAATCTTGGCAGTGGTAAAGAGAGTTTCTTCAAACCATTTTCTTTTGCCGAGGGGCAGAAATAATTATGGAGACCGCCTACAGAATTTGGACACTTTCCGTCCAAGAATAGCTGTCAAACTTAATCAACAAATCGGCAAGATACTACATTCTGTGAGGCCAGCCTTCTTTGTTCTTCACGGTAAGTAAATACCCCCGGAAATCTCTCTACTTTTCCCCGCCACTTTCTCCCCCTAATTTCAACCGTTTGGTCGGGAGCGCGCCCGGGCGCTTTTGTACCATTTTGCCGGTGATTATGGTGTTTTCCCGGGACTATCCAAGTGGATTTGCACAGCGCGTGTGCGCACAATTAACACAACACAAAACCCAGAGGGATCGGCGAGGAGTAATCTAACCAGAACTGACAGGCTCAACCCTCGGGCGAACAGTTGAGGCATGGACAGGAAGAGAGAGTTATGTTATTCAGTTATCGGCCAGTCTCGTAATTACACTCCGCAAAGGTCTTTTCTGATCAGGGATTTTATTAATTTTTTTTCCGGCTGTCTTTGCACCTCTCTCAGAATTTCTTTCTCCGAGGGGGCCAAATCTTGAAAGTTGTTTGTTTTGATTTTCAGATGGGGGATATCGGGAGAAACAAACCGGCAAACATAAAGGACTAGGCTGGTTAATAATTTTGATCCAAAAATGTCATCATCGTCGTTTGGGCTTTTTCAACAGACGATTAGACGCATTTCAGTCTGAATCAGATGGACACACAATTTGAATTTAATGTTTTTATTGTCTTAAGTAAAACACGTTCATTGTGGTAAATAAGTATGAATTTTCGACTCCCCCAAAACCACTTTTGAATTCAAAATTTAAGACAATTCCGATCTTGTGAATACCTTATGACTTCATCAAAATATATTCGGGCGTCGACTTCTTTGAACCGCGATTTGATTTTGATTTTGACCTCGAAAGCCCCGGGTTATTGTTTTTCTTTGTTGCGCCTACATATTTTTTCTTTTAAGGGAATTTTAGTCTGTATTACATAAAAAGAAAGAGAAACATTCGAGTTTAATAATCCCACTTTTACCGTTATATACCTTGCTTTAATGATTATGTGAGGAGCTACGTTGTGCATGTTATAACTGTTCGTGGATAGTAAGTTAATTTACTGACATCCTTTTCTTCGTAAGAAGAATCCACTTGATATCTGACGTCAAGAACTGAATTGTTAGTGGAGAGGGATTGTCCATTATTAATAATTGAGGGCGATATTCCCTTGGTACAGACAATAGACATATCTTTTATTGAAACAATTTTGCAACTTTACTTTGATCTAAAAATTATACTTACAAAAATGAGATATAAAAAATATGTCCAGCAATACGATATACTCTGAAATTCACATCGGTTTGTAAACCCCCTGGCGTCGTGAAAATAGCCGGCTCTGCATTGATTCTGTTGCGCGCCCTCTGTTGTACAGAAAGTGAAAGGTGGGTAAATGGTTGTAGAATCAGCAATACAAGTACGTTGTATTGCTCTTTTGAACAGTGGACCAATACACCAGTCATGATTATTATATCCTACCAAAAGAAATGCAGCTGTTTCTGTTTTGCTGTTCCGAGGCTTTTACAGGTGGGTCAACACAGATCAGCCACTGCAGTCGGGATGGCTCTCATGTTGTCTCCTTGCATCCAATGTCTGTCATTGTCCGTAAAATTGAAAGAAATGCTGCAAAAATGAGGGAACCTAACGCGAAAGACCTATAATTATCATTACTGAATACGCCTATTGAGCGCACTGTGGTCCATTTCCGCTGTGCTGGCTCAGAGACAATAATTATCGGTTTTTATGACGATTACTGAAGGAAAAGACCATGCATGTACAATCCGATGACGGTTCAAGAATTAATCGCCAGTTCTGGCTTCCAGTCTTTACTAATACCATCAAGAAATATAGGTAATTCAGAGCAGAAAGCAAAAACTCAACTCCCAAAGATTGATCGCAGATAGCAATTTGCACTAAAAAAAGATCGAACGATGACAGTATTCACGCATGCACTAGAAGATCCTTGCAGCCTTTAAATTATCGATACACTTGGTTTTTACAGGTTAGTTTTTGTCAAAAAAGCACCGCAAATTCTTTTCAGTTGTTTTGTGTATTTTGGGAAACTGACCTCGATCTTCCATGCCGGTTGGATTCTGTATTTGCGTTTGTAATACTGTGTGTATTTACGTTTGTATGAATGAGTATGCGTTCAACAGTGCAAGACCATTAACGCGTCATTTAGGCCAAAAAAATAAGTCTCCGGTTTCTGGTATGTGCGCGCGTCGCCGTAGCCACGCGCGTCGGCAAAATGAAAAAGTTTTTTTTTTCAATGAAAGATGATGTCTCAAAACCGCCAAACTCACTGGTTTGACTGGAATCATGCTGCTGCACAATTTTAACGTGTTTTTAGATTGGGTTTTGGTCGAGAATAAGCTTTATGTGGCCTCTCTGGACTCCCATATATTTGCACTAAGTTTAGTCGGGCACCATTTACAGTCATCAGCCGACATTTGAAGCAAAAAAAATCAGGTAAAAAAAAAAAAAAAAGCCGCGTCGCCGCACCACTTTTTGGGCAAGCTCCATACCAGAAACCGGAGACTTTTTTTTTTTGGCCTTAAGGAATGCAATTGTCCTTGCGTGTCGCCGCGATAAAATGAGGAACGTGCCAGCAACTTATTTTTATGGCGGATATGGTTATAATATAAAAAACAAACAAACAAACAGTTACATCACATTTTGCAAAACTCACTCACGTTAAACATCGAGTATTAATAAGCAAATCAAAACATTACAATGGCCAGATATCTCTGCCTTAGCAAGGCCTTCTTCAGGGGTAAAAGTTAATAAAATATTTAATTGGAAGTGCAATTCCGGATGTGATCGTACCTTAGGAAATTGACAAATGGACAGAAATGACTCTACTTTAGAATCACAGTCTTTCAACCCAATCGGACTTGTACTTTAGAAGTTCAACTTTTTCTTGCACTTATGAAAGACTGTATATTGACAGCGTTGTGCCATTGCTATAAATGTCAGTCTGCAGATGCAAAAGTCCAAAGCATTTTCCTGTTTGATTCCACAGTTACTTAGAAAAATAAAGAGCTATCTCTGTTTCCTTGTTTTGCTATTTATTTTGCATGCTCTTCCTCCTTTGCAACATTTCTTGTCAACATCGGGGGACTTGAAGCTATCTGACTCTATAGGGGGCGTTGTTCAAGCATGTATTCAATAAATTACACATACGCCGCATTGAGCGCCATTCCATGTTGAAATCAGTATCTTGGAGCTATTTTTTTAGTGAAAAATATTAAAAAGTCGATTAACCTTGAATACAACAAATCGTCTTCCGCTAGGAAACAAAAAAAGTTGGGGTGGTACAGGCACTTTGGATTGTAATAAGTCGCTTTGAAACTAAGAAGTATAGACTTAATATTTTGTGAGGCGTACTCACCCATGGCAGCAATACACCCCCCTTATGTCGATTTGTGTTGTTTTGGACTAAGCTGCTATTCTGAAGCTCGTAGTTACAAGAAACAAGAGGGCGCTAGTTAAAAAGGTATTGATGACCATTTTGGAAGGACTTTCAAGGGGAACCTGGCTTTGCGTCCAGAAAAATGAAGACATTGTCACCGTTTTCTCAAAAAGTATGATGTCTACTGACCTGAAAGTTTCGATAGGTTAATGTGTAAATAACCTGCTTCGTCAGCTTTATTGTACTGTTCGTCCTTACAAATCGGCAGATGTATAGATTTGTATATTTTGTTTGCAACTGACGTCAATTATCTTTTAGGATATACATAAACTGTTCTTTATTATGCACGACGACATATCAAAGTAAGGAGCTGTGATGTTTCAAGAACAATACAATAATGCCTTTGAAATATTCAGCACTTAATTAAATATATGTGAAAACTTGATGAGGCCAAAATATTTTTGCAAACTTGATTTTAATTCGTAGCTGTTAACAAAAATGGGTGAAGAGCAAATCCTATCATCAAACACCACTTTTCTTGTTTCAAATAGATTTAAATAACTCGTAATACTGACGATGTTATGAAACATTGACAGCTTCATTTGAAAATTGACTTTGCTGGGTTTTCAAGTCCAACACGTATGTTTTAAGCACACGCCAAATGAAGGTTTGTAGTCCTTGCTCAGTTTATTAAAATCAACCATCACCAAAGATTTATTAAATGTATTAAGCAACGATTATATACCACTGCACTGTTATGTTACTTTATCAGATTATACAAAGATATTCGAGATCCAGCGGTATTTGAGTAAGTTATTCTTGAGAAATTTAGTAAGGCCTTTCCCGCCCCCTCCCCCAGAACTGAATCGGTACAAATTCATCTTCATGTACAATAATGTCATCATTATGCGTCCTCTTCTGTTAACTTGACCACACCACATACTGTTACCCCTGATGGTACAGCCAATAATATCCCGTACCCGATTGGTATTTAATTATGACCCATGTGCGGTGGGACTTACTCGCTTTTTAAAGGAACCTCTTTCCAATTTAAATCTCTTTGCAATTTAAATATAACGATAATGTAATACCACTACTCGGATAGGAAGCAAGAAGATTACAGAAAAAAGTTTTAAAGGGAAAATACAACATTTGCTAACATCGAAAAATAAAACTACCAAGTAGTTACGAAATACCTTACTAGGATGTTGGTAAATGACATGCTTAATCATCCTGTAAAATTATGGCACCTGGTGTGAAGCCATTTAAAAAAAAAATGGTATATTTGTCTACATTTCCAACGCTGGTCGGCCGACCACCGTTGGAAAAACCTAACTATTTTTCAATTACTGCACCAAATTTACCATTTTTTTTTAGTCTTGCTTTGCTAGCTATTGGTTCCATGCTCATGAACGGGTGCAGGCCAGCTAGACTGGTTCCCTTACCTTACAATTTTCTGGTATGTTTTATCCATTCCATCTTTAGTGGAGTCAGGGAACCAGACTACTTGAATATTTTTGTTTTTCTTTGTTTTTCTAGCATTTTCGAACCCAAAACTTCAAACATGTCAGTGTAACAATATTTGATCTATTATACTAACCCCCCAAATAGTTCATTTCTAAAATTACAGCAAAAGCCAATGACGTACATTCCCTTTAAAGATTACAGACAAGAGAATAATGCTTTTACATATTACCCATTTACCCAATTAATATAAGATGATTAAAATGCCACAAGGGCTAATTACGATATTGTTTCATTCTTTCTGGCTGAGACTGAATAGCAATGATGAGCAGATACACCAATGGTGAATCCTCCACACTAGTGATGCCCTGTAAATAAGAGGGAAAAGTATTAAACAGAGAATGTCATTAATCACAAAAACATTCATTACAGAAATAAAGTGTTAGCCTAAATTTAGGGATTTTTTTTTGCAGAACACCATGCACTGCCACTTGGTTTGATGATAATATAAGGTGCCCGGTATTTGATGACGAAAGACCCTTCTTTATACAAGTGCATCTTTCGGGTATTTTCCCCAGGGTAGGACTGTAGATATGATCAATCGATGCTGATAGCAAAACGACAACACCACCACTGAACGTCCACCCTCTGAATCGTTACGCCTTTACATTGTGTACAGAGGGAGTAAGTGCATGAATCAGGGCAGAAAGTTCATAACAACCTCTTGCTTTATTGAAAGTTTGACAATGGCGCTTTAGTATTTCTTGAAAAAAAAATAAAGACTTGACCACAAAAACAAGTCAACTTGTAAACGTGGACGCTCTTCGGTCGAGTGGATTTATTTCAAAAGTAAAGGTAAAAGTAAAAAAACAGACATACAAACAAACCATTCAGCCGATCTGACAAACAAGATTCAGGGCAAGCGCACGCTCTTTTTAAGTTAACCCCCAACAAAACCCCGACAACAATGTATAAAAATTCCACATATTATGCACTTTCAAATGATTTATTATAGTTTACCCATAAAAAAGTGCACCGACCAAGCGATTTTTGTTCTCGTGATGTAGGCTAGTTCACAAACTCGGCTGCAAAGATTAAAACGTCAGCCATTTACAAAATATGAAGGGAAAAATAATCATGAGAATTCTGCTGCAAAATATCGCTGCCTGGTGCTTAAACACTAATTGAATAGAAAATATTACACTCTAGAGAAAAACAGAAAATAAAAACACCCCTCTACAAGCAAACGCAAACAAAGGAGAAGAAAATAATTATGAGGCAAAAAGGAACAACTTAATTCATACTGAGCTGAGATAGAACCACGCTCACGCGCACTTCGAGGCACGCGCATAATTGTTAAAACTCTATTGGTCGAAGGATTTAGAGCGCGCGTTAGAAAAGCGCGTGAGCGTGGTGCCACCTCAGCAAAGCCTTCTTATGAAGATCAAGACTAGAAGGTAAAACTCACTTGACACGGTGGGAGTCTGGGGATAAACCCTACTTTTCACAGCAGTTTTCACCATTACAAACGGAGTTACAATAAGTAGCAGGACAGCACCTTCCCCTCTTAGCAATGCCTGAAAAGAAAAATGTGAATCAAAGTTTTGTTTTTATTCCTGTTTGTGTCTGTGTGCTAGCTTGTATTTGTTTGTTTTGTATGGCGAAATTGTTACACGATTATAGACTTGGTTCAAGTCGTAGACGCTGCTTCTGCTTCCGGCGCTAAGTCCGCAATATCCGATAAGTGCGCAATCGTACAATCTCTTGTAAATTATCCTCTCTCGTCAACGGTAACATTTCTACATACATGTTCTTTTTAAAGAGAATGAAGCCCTTTGTTCATGGGGAGGGATGGAGAAGATGTTGTGAGTTGAGGTGTAATCTTACTTTCTGCCAAGTCCTTGTAAAGCTCCTTGACTTCCAGATAGTCCTTCACTTCACGCAGCAGTTCGGTCAGCTTTGTGTCTGTTGAAGACATTCAATTTATCACTTATTCATTATCAATTCAAACAGCCTTGTGGAATTATTAAAAGTATTCAACATTCTAGTTTAACTTTTAGAAGGAAAGGGATAGAAAATCTTGGTGGTTGCAAAATTCCATTTAGTCCACCACTTACAAAAGCTTGAACTCAAAGATCAACCCCAATCTTCAAGAAACTTAAGAGTAAAAAACTTGAACAAACTTGAATATAATCTAAATGTATAAGCTAGCATAAATCTCAGCCCCGATCAGACAACTAGACTAGCTGTAAACCGCGCAATTTGATGTACATGCAGCAACGCCTTGCAGTATAACCATTAAGAGATAACTCGTCCCTTGATTTAGACAAACAAAATTAATCAAAACCCTTTTGGGGCTGGCGCCTGATGAATACATACCTTCCTCCCTCTCGTAACCGCTGACGAGGACAGACACCAGACTCACAACAACAAGGAAACACAGAAGGTTCTTCATTTTTGAAGGTATCTGTAGGATCAAAACAGGAAAAACACAATGCAAAGCGCAATTTTTCACTGCAAACAGTTTTGCTCTGCCGTCACAGTTTTTCACTGCAGAAAAACTGAGCTGAAATCGTTATTTAAATTGTACATGATTTTTGCTGGTACGTTTAGGAAGAGACTCCAATTAACTATTCAGCCTGCGGTACTTAACTTTTAACGCCTTCATTTCGACAGCTGTGTTTTTTTCTGAAACTTACCACTGATGGACAGTTTAATATACCTCTGGCATTTTCAAAATGATATTTTCAATGCAGGGTTATTGGGCTATAATTATGTTCCTTCAATTGTGAATTTCTACGCGTGCCGAGTCCATGCGATGAATGTATCTGAAGGAACACATTGTTTGCAATGTATAATGGAAAATGTTTACATAATAATTGTTCGTGGTTAATGTCGTTTTGTTTTATCCAATTTAATTGTTTTACAATTAATAGCATATACAAAGAATAAAATATTCCTAGGATTAATAAAGACAGTTAATGATCAATAAATACAATTGAATCAGATGATCTTATCTACACTTTAATACAAGACCTAATATACACATAAATTCTGGCTCTAATGTTTTTGGTTGTTGAGAATTTCTTCGGACGGTTTTTCAACTTTAGGAATGAGTAAACTTACAGTTTTGTTTTGCTCGACTTGCTGCTTGTTGGAATTTGACGATAAAGTTGCGTGCGAGATAACTGTTACAATAACGACACACAGCTTGCAAAGAACCAGCCACAATAATAAAATAGAATTATTTTCTGACACACCAGCAATATAACCAGCTCATTGAGCAGACCATTCCATTACCCAAAGAGGGGATTTCAACTGCACATCCCTCATTTCGTTCAACAGATGCTTACCCTAATGCTCACCCTCCCACCCCTGCGTAATGCAACACTTTATGACCGATTAAACATTCAATGTATAAAACATTAGAGGCAGTGGAAAGATGCAAGCAATGTTGTTTTAGCAAAATGTGATGGTTTTGTTTGAACAAGTATTATTACCTGTTCCACCAGGTAGAGAGTGTTTGAACCCAAGCTGTTCGACGGAGCAACGCTGGTGTTGCGGATGAGTGAGTTTAGCAAAATGGATGGAATTGTATTTTATGTTTATCTGTTCCACCATAGGAAAAAACCTTTTGCTGGTACTTTCGTCATTTGGAATTGTATTGCATGATTATCTTTTCCACCAAAGAAAAAATTGTTGCTGGTACGTTTGTCATTTTGTCACGCAATGACAATGCTCGAGAAAGGACGCGGGTAGGTTCTTGCACAGTTGGACGTAATTTCTCTACCACAAACGTAAATACAGAATCAAAAGAAAACCGTGTCTGTTGGAATCTCGAGGTTACAAAACAACTGAAAAGAATTTGCCAGTTTTTTGTGTGAAAAATTGACCTATAGAAAAAGTGAACCGGAAAAGCGCATATTGAAGAGACAGGGTACCAGGCATAAGCTAAAATATGGCCACTTAACATGAACACCAAAACAACTTGGAAATACCACCTACAAAAAAGTCACAGAATTGGAGCATTTTAACTGTTTATTTTAGGTATTTATTAATGGGAATAGCGGCATGATATTAACCCAGTTTTCAACGCGCGATAGTGACCGGGTTTGAGGATGGCCGCTGTTAATGGACCTCGCCTTCGGCTCTGTCCATTATAACAGCGGTCATCCCCCGACCCGGTCATTTATCACGCAGTGAAGGTTTCTAGTTCTTTGCTCGTGTACCCCCCGCCCTCTGTTTGCAGGGCGGGGCCGAGGGTACGATTCGCTCGTACCCCCACCCTGCAAACAGGACGCTGGTAAGGGCTGACGTCATTTGAGCTCTCATTGGATAGATTTTGCGTGACCTATGACGTAGACGCGTCACACAAACTAGCTTCCGGTGCCCATCATGCGTAGCGTGCGCTAGCTGCATGCGAAGGTCAATCTATACTTCCTTCACAAGATTCTGTGAAGCTCATCAGCCCTTACCAGCGCCCTGTTTGCAGGGCGGGGGTACGAGCGAAAGGGTACGAGCGAATTCTAGTTCTTGCGCTGTAGTATCAATGCAGAATGGAGTGTTGATGAATGAGGGCGCTATGCATGTAGCCATGCGTGTATATGTCTGTGGATGCAGACCATTAATCTATCCATTATGATGTAGTATAAATGGAGATCAATGATGCACAATCTACATAAATCTCAGAGCTATAATGAAAAACAAAATTACACTTTACAATGTATAAAATTTAGATTGAAGTAAAGTTCTCATTTATTTTTCATTAAATAATGTGACACGTCTTTTGTCTGCATCGTAGACATCTTGAAACAAACCAGAGGAGTGAAGATGACCGATTTTCTTCCTCTCCACGGATGTGTGTAGTATTAATAGCAAGGCAGGAGGAAATGGTGAAAAGAGCGCCTCCTAGCGGCGAAATGACATGTCAACACAGACTGAAGGTCACGACATATTATTGCATTCTCCAATCACCAACGCTCAAATTTATTGAAATCAACCAAACCATCACCAAAGATTTCTATTTAGCAACGATTACTCTTAAAACCTCTGTCTCAGACTGACCCCGAGTCTGAATCCAAATTTGTTCAGTCCTTTTTCTGGTAAAAACGACACTTGTTTGGATCAAAATGGCCTCGAAAAAGTCACTTTTGACCCCCCTAATGGATTTTTTTTTTTTACCAGAAAAGGACTGAGCAGGTTTGGATTCAGATTCCGGTCAATGGCCCAGTAGTTTTTCAAGTGAAGATTTAGACTTCTGTTACTTTGTGAGATTAAACAAATATAGTCCAAATGCAGCGGCATTTGAGTTATTTTTGAGAAATTTAATAAGGCCTTTTCCCCCCGAACTGCATTATGAATCGATACAAACTCATCTTCGTGTTCAATAACACTGTCAGTATGCGCCCTCTACTGGTAACTTGACCTCACCTCATATCTTGTTACCCCTGATGGTACTGCCAATAATACCCTGTGTCCGATTGGTATATGACATAAGGAGTGGCGAAATTTACTCGCTTTTTAACGAAACTCTGACCAATTTTAATGTAAAGTTAATAATAATATCACCAATCAGATAGGAAATTAGAGCATTACACAAAGAGCTTTAAAAGATTACAGACAAGAGAATAATGCTTTTACATATTACCCATTTACCCAATTAATATAAGATTTTTAAAATGCCATAAGAGCTAATTACGATATTGTTTCATTCCTTGTGGCTGAGACTGAATAGCAACGATGAGCAGATACACCAATGGTGAATCCTCCACACTAGTGATGCCATGTGAATAAGAGGGAAATGTATTAAAGAGAGAATGTCATTGATCACGAAAACATTAATTACGGAAATAAAGTGTCAACCTCAATGATATGTTGTATATTCATAGGATTTGATGACACTAAAGACCCTTCTTTATACTAGTGCATCTTTCGGGTATTATTGTTTTCTCCAGGGTACGACTGTAGATATTATGATCAATCGATGCGGATAGCAAAACCAGGCCACTGAACGTCACCCCCCCCCCTCTAAATCGTTATACCTTTACGTTGTGTACAGAGGGAGTAAGTTCATAAATCAGGGCAGACAATTCCAAACAACCTCTTGTTTTGTTGAAAACCCAAGTTTGACAATAATGGTGCTTTAGTATTTCTTGAAAAGACAGACTTGACTACAAAACAACTCAACTTGTAACCGATTACGCTCTTCGTTCGAGTGGATTTATTTAAAACCAAAGAAGGCACAAGTAAAAAACAATCAAACAAACAAATCAGTCAGCCGAATCGGACAAACCGTACAGCGCAAGCGCACGCTCCTTTTAACCCCCAAGCCCCGACAACAATGTATGAAAATTCCACATATTGTTCACTTTCAAATGATTTATTATATAGTTTACCCGTAAAAAAAACCCAGCTTTTTTGTAAATTAATCATGCACGGCGTACAAACGCACAACGACAAAGCGATTCTTGTTCTCGTGATGTAGGCTAGTTCACAAACTCAGCTGCTGGTAAAGATTAGACCGCCAGCCATTCACAAAATATGAAAAAAAATAAACATGGATGAGAATTCGGCCGCAAAAAAACGCTGACTGGCGCTTATACACTAATAGACGAGGCCAAGTCTGGGTTGCGTTCGGTCTGTATCTACATCTACACGTATAAATGTACACTATACGGGTGCAGACCAGTAAATCGGTCCGAAATTGCCTGCGCCGGCCAAATCACGATTTGCATGCCCTCAAAATCTTCGGTATTTGAGCATGCTGTGGGCCATGAACTTGAGGGTTTGTAAAAAATATGGGTGGAAGCCGTGCACAGGACTGGGAGCTTGCAGTTCTGTGTAATTTTGATGTAATTTGGACCCTAAAAGCGCTCTATTTTGCAATGGAGTGTAGCCATCGTTTTTCAAAATGGCGATGGGCTTCAGGACTATTTTTAGGGGTGATCATCTTCGGATGGAAATTTCTCCTAAAAGTCATCAGTTGACCCCCCGAAAATTGAAAAGAAAATGAAAGGTGATAAAATAAGCTTTAATTTGATGTGTGTCTCGAACACCTTGGAGAGTTGTAAGTATTTTCCCCGAATTTCTGAAGTGGGAGCATTTACCATTGGGGTCTATGGAAGTTTATTTACTGGTCTGCTACCTATAGTTTCAAAATAGCGCCTTCCATGGTTTGTTGTCAAATATTTGCGGAGTGTTTTTTTTTCAGGGGGGGGGGGGCGGAACCTGGGGGGGGGTGCAGCGTTTCAAAAGGGTCACCAATGGCGGTTTCGCAACAAATGCGCCCAAAATCTGAATAGGGCCGATGGACCGTCGTCCGATCACAGCAATTTCGAGCGAACAAGGGGGGGGGGGTAATTTGGGTCGGAAGTAGCAAAAACTCGATTAACGCCCGTTGGGGGCGCCCTGCAGTAAGGTAGCCGCAAACAGAGGGCTTGTTTTCAGGCCAGAAATCGCAGTCAGAGATTTTTTTTCTTGCAATTTTTTGATGAAATATGAGTCATCCATCCTTCCTCGTGCCGTACAAGTGGTTTGGGGAATGTTTCAAAACCTCGCTTCTCTATAGTTTCAAAATGGCGCCTTCCATGGTTTGTTGTCAAATGTTTGCGGAGTGTTTTTTTTTCAGGGGGGGGGCGGAACCTGGGGGGGGGCAGCGTTTCAAAAGGGTCACCAATGGCGGTTCCGCAACAAATGCGCCCAAAATCTGAATAGGGCCGATGGACCGTCGTCCGATCACAGCAATTTCGAGCGAACAAGGGGGGGGGGGGGGGGTAATTTGGGGTCGGAAGTAGCAAAAACTCGATTAACGCCCGTTGGGGGCGCCCTGCAGTAAGGTAGCCGCAAACAGAGGGCTTGTTTTCAGGCCAGAAATCGCAGTCAGAGATTTTTTTTCTTGCAATTTTTTGATGAAATATGAGTCATCCATCCTTCCTCGTGCCGTACAAGTGGTTTGGGGAAATTTTTCAAAACCTCGCTTCTCTATAGTTTCAAAATGGCGCCTTCCATGGTTTGTTGTCAAATGTTTGCGGAGTGTTTTTTTTTCAGGGGGGGGCGGAACCTGGGGGGGGGGGGGGGCAGCGTTTCAAAAGGGGTCACCAATGGCGGTTCCGCAACAAATGCGCCCAAAATCTGAATAGGGCCGATGGACCGTCGTCCGATCACAGCAATTTCGAGCGAACAAGGGGGGGGGGGGGGGGGGGGTAATTTGTGGGTCGGAAGTAGCAAAAACTCGATTAACGCCCGTTGGGGGCGCCCTGCAGTAAGGTAGCCGCCAACAGAGGGCTTGTTTTCAGGCCAGAAATCGCAGTCAGAGATTTTTTCTCTTGCAATTTTTTGATGAAATATGAGTCATCCATCCTTCCTCGTGCCGTACAAGTGGTTTGGGGAAATTTTTCAAAACCTCGCTTCTCTATAGGGTGCAGACCAGTAAATCGGTCCGAAATTGCCTGCGCCGGCCAAATCACGATTTGCATGCCCTCAAAATCTTCGGTATTTGAGCATGCTGTGGGCTATGAACTTGAGGGTTTGTAAAAAATATGGGTGGAAGCCGTGCACAGGACTGGGAGCTTGCAGTTCTGTGTAATTTTGATGTAATTTGGACCCTAAAAGCGCTCTATTTTGCAATGGAGTGTAGCCATCGTTTTTTCAAAATGGCGATGGGCTTCAGGACTATTTTTAGGGTGATCATCTTCGGATGGAAATTTCTCCTAAAAGTCATCAGTTGACCCCCCGAAAATTGAAAAGAAAATGAAAGGTGATAAAATAAGCTTTAATTTGATGTGTGTCTCGAACACCTTGGAGAGTTGTAAGTATTTTTCCCGAATTTCTGAAGTGGGAGCATTTACCATTGGGGTCTATGGAAGTTTATTTACTGGTCTGCTACCATACACGCCGTACCATAACGCGCGCCCTCATGCGTCAAATCCAGATCAACATGTTAAAAACGTACATGTACATGTTATGTTTATGTGATGCAGCAACCCAGACTTGGTCGATCTGCCATTCTCTTATTGGTCAGAAGATCAAAACTAGAAAAATACTCACTTGACATGGTGGACTCGGGATAGGCCTAAACCCTGCTCAGGCACAGCATAGGTGTGCTCTACAAATTTGTAAGCGGCAAGGACAGCACCCCCTCTTATCAATGCCTGCGAAGGAAAATGTGAATAAAAGTTAAGTTTATTCCAGTTTCTTTCTGTTTGCTAGTTTGTATTAATTTTGTTTGTTTAGTTTGGTGAAGTTGTTAATACACGATTATAAAATTGGTTCAAGCTGTATACGCTGCTTGTGCTTCCGCTAACAAGTGCGCAATCGTACAATCGCTTATAAATTTTCTCTCGTTAACTGTAACATTAATTTTGTACATCCTTTAAAATAAAAGAAGAAGAAGAGAGAATTAAGTACTTTGCTCATGGGGAGGGATGGAGAAGATGTTGTGAGTTGAGGTGTAATCTTACCTTCTGCCAAGTCCTTGTAAAGCTCCTTGACTTCCAGATAGTCCTTCACTTCACGCAGCAGTTCGGTCAGCTTTGTGTCTGTTGAAGACATACAATTATCACTGCCTCGTTATCAATTCAAAATAGCATTATGAAAGTATTTAACATCGTAGTTTATTTGTAAGAAGGAAAGGGATCAAGATTCTGGATGGTTTCAAATTTCCATTCAGTCCACCACCAACAAAAGGTTGGAATCGTCATTTTCATGCACGAGTACAAACAAAGCCCCAATCTCCAAGAAACTTAAACTTGAACAAACTTGAACAGTAATCTTAATGTATAAGCTAGCATAAACCTCCCAAAAACTCAGCCCCGATCAGACAACTAGTTCTAGCTGTAAACCTCGCGATTTGATGGACATGTAGCAACGCCTTGCAGTATAACCATTAAGAGATAACTCGTCCCTTGATTTAGAAAAACAAAATTAATCGAAAACCTTTTTTTTTCAGATTGGCGCTCGATGAATACATACCTTCCTCCCTCTCGTAACCGCTGACGAGGACAGACACCAGACTCACAACAACAAGGAAACACAGAAGGTTCTTCATTTTTGAAGGTATCTGTGGGATTAAAACAGAATGCAAAGCGCAATTTTTCACTGCAAACAGTTTTGCTCTGCCGTCACAGTTTTTCACTGCAGAAAAACTGAGCTGAAATCGTCATTTAAATTGTACATGATTTTTGCTGGTACGTTTAGGAAGAGACTCCAATTAACTATTCAGCCTGCGGTACTTAACGTTTAACGCCTTCATTTCGACAGCTGTGTTTTTTTCCCTGAAACTTACCACTGATGGACAGTTTAATATACCTCTGGCATTTTCAAAATGATATTTTCAATGCAGGGCTATTGGGCTATAATTATGTTCCTTCAATTGTGAATTTCTACGCGTGCCGAGTCCACACTGTAAAAAAATTGCCCGTAATTTTACGGTAAGGGGCCATTCAGAATTTTCAATGTTTTAAAATTTCGACTTTTTTTCCAATTATTTTGACCCACCCACCCACCCATAATTTCGATTAATAAAAAACTGAACATGTACATGTACATGCAAGTCTAGTTCAGTGACGGCGTGAAGTTTTCGGTCTTCCTCTTTTGCACTGGTGACCTTCAGTTTTCTTGTGTTTTGCCAGCTGATATGCTGTTGGGATTGACAGGTTGCAGTTTTGGAAGCCACAAAGATGACCGTGGTTTTGTCGTTTTCTGGATGAGGTGGATGACATGTGACATACGAGGTTGTGCCTATCACGTGAGTCCAGTGGTTGAATAGTCCAGTTTTATAGCGATTGGATACACGTAGGCCTTCATGACGTACATGTACAGTACACAGTGGCGTAGCCACGGGGGGGGGGGGGGGGGGGGGACAGCCCCCCCATGAAACCTTGTTCCCCCCCCCCCCAGTCGCCCCCCCCCCCCACTGAGATTTTGAGTTTCTAAAAAATTATCATTGATCTACATGACGCCCCCCCCCCCCCATGAAATGTTCCAGCCCCCCCAGCGCCCCCACTGAAAAATTCCTGGCTACGCCACTGGCCCCGGTTGACTATGCACACCATGGTCATCGTTGGAGGGAAAAATCACCTAAAAGTCATAGGTCAACCCCCCCCCCCCCCAAAAAAAAGATTTCCAAAAAGGTAAAGAGGATTAATTCAGCTTTCATTTGATGTATGTTTTGATCACCTGTGAGGGTTCAGAGTATGTTCCCCGATTTGTTTACATTGGGATATTTATCTTTGGTGCCTATGGGAATTTATGTATTGGTGTGCACCCACAAACTTTTCATCTGGAAGGCTCATGTCACGGAATGTCCCATTAAATTGTTTAGAAATTATGTTGAAAATAACATCTTCATGGATTCCCAGCACAACTCCTCACAATAAGCCCAGTGTTAACAATATTTCTCGTTGTGGGTCTGAAAATGAAAATTGTCGGTTTGTGTATATGATCAAGTGAAATTATTTATGCAGTATTTTGCCCATTTCCCTCAAAATTGCATATTGTAATATTGTACATTTTTTATCAATTTGCTAGAATATGTGATACCTCACCAACAAGTATCTTTTAACGAAATTCAATCAGAATATTTATCAATTTTTAAAAAGAAAATTAGTTGTTGTGTTACTTGTTGGTGTCCCTGCCACACTGTACGATGGTGTAGCCGTGCGTTATGCAAGTGGATTGTTTACTTTCGTTTTGACGGGGACTTTACTGAATAGAGTCTGGTGACTGTACATAGAAATTTCTTTGAATAAAAGTCGAATCGTTCATTCATGTGCACTTGTTATGCAAAGCAGGGGCGGTGGTTCAAGGATATCTATGTCGACATGAAGAAAGTGTGCAAGAACGCGACTTGAATGCTTTTATGTGTTCACAATACAACGACGCTGTTTAGTTATTTCACTGTGTGACACAGTGAGAAATTTTGGAATCATAATGGCGTCAGCGATACTTGCTGGGGAGCTCTTGCGTACACTTTCTGTACTTTGGGACTGTTGTTTCCAGGACAATTGTGTGTACGGTAACCCGACGTACCCAGATTTTTAAAGACGAAATTGCCGACCTCAAACTTGTTAGTGCCATATTTGGCAACTATATGTGCGTTATTAGTTTAATTAACCAAATGAACAGGTTAATTAAACATAGTACCATTGAAGGTACCTAAAAGTAAGCATAACAGCATAGAAGACCGACAGACGAACATAAAATGTTACAAAATAAACATATTTGTCTGGATAATTGTTTAGGGCGTTACCGGCAAGTTAATACAAACTTGGTGTCAAATAGATCATGGGAGTTACATTTCTTTGACTTTTCATACAAGTTTACATAAACTGTAACTGTATGACCTGCAGTGGCGTAGCCACGGGGGGGGGGGGGGCGTGGGGGGCGACAGCCCCCCCCCCATGAAACCTTGTCGCCCCCCCCCCCCATTCGCCTCCCCCACTGAGATTTTGAGTTTCTAAAAAATATATAATTGATCTACATGACGCCCCCTCGCCCCCCCCCCCCATGAAATGTTCCAGCCCCCCAGCGCCCCCCCCCCCTCCCCCACTGAAAAATTCCTGGCTACGCCACTGACAGTACATATAGGGGACGAAGTTGGAAAAGAAACACGCATCGCGATATCGGAATGCTTGCGCGTAGTTCAGGCAAGTCAAAAGATATATCTTTCTTTGTTTTTTTTAATCTTTTTTCCATGGAAAGTGAATTTCGATTTTCAGTTATTTAGCTTGACCCACCCACCCACAATTTGGAAAAAAGATCGAAATTTTAAAACATTGAAAATTCTGAATGGCCCCTAAAAGCACTGTCAAACGGGTTGCCAACAAAGACCGTAAAATTACGGTCAGTTACGGGTTTCCAAAAATGACGGTGACCGTAATTTTAACGCGAATTTCCCGTAAATTTGACGGCAATTTGCCGTAAAGTAATGGAATACAAGTGGGGTGGCGTCAGAGCTGAGTGTAGGGGTAGGGAGGGGGGTAGGTTCCAGTTGCAGCAGCTGGGAGTGGGGTATGCATACGTCTTGCAGCTTGTCTTTTACACGCATAGGGGTTTTCAAATCACTTAATGTGAAATTATCTTTAAGTTGTAACATAACTTGCATCTGTAAGTTGTAATTTTCATTTACAACTTTTTACCGATCCCACAGAAAGGGGTCAACCTATTGCTGGTCAACACCGCAGGATTAGCTGTTTGGCTCTCCGAATTCCGCAATATCAAAGCATTACGGCTGTGACGTCCCAATGATCAGCACGTAGCGAACGTTGCGTGAGTGCACACGAATCACAGCTTTAAAAACTAGGCGGTTGTGAGGGTTTGAAAGGGGAGGGGTTTTGAAAAGTTACGAATACAAAGCATTGTGAATCCCAGCATGCGTCAGGGCACCAAGTTTTACAGGAAATGCACGTAGCACGTTCTTTCTTGTGACGATACGAGCAATAACGGTAATAAACCGTAAAAAGTACGGGAAATTGACAGTGTTTTTACGGGTTCTGTTAACAGTGCATGCGATGAATGTTTCTGAAGGACACATTGTTTGCAACTCTCTACTCGTCTTAAATGTATAATGGAAAATGTTTACATAAGAATTGTTCGTGGTTAATGTCGTTTTGTTTTATCCAATTTAATTGTTTTAAAATTAATAGCATATACAAAGAATAAAATATTCCTAGGATTAATAAAAACAGTTAATGATCGATAAATACAATTGAATCAGATGATCTTATCTTCACTTTAATACAAGACCTAATATACATATAAATTCTGGCTCTAATGTTTTTGGTTGTTGAGAATTTCCCCGGACGGTTTTTCAACTTTAGGAATGAGTAAACTTACAGTTTTGTTTTGCTCGACTTGCTGCTTGTTGGAATTTGACGATAAAGTTGCTTGCGAGATAACTGACAATAACGACACACAGCTTGCAAAGAAACAGCCACAATAATGAAATAGAATTATTTTCTGACACACCAGCAATATAACCAGCTCATTGAGCAGACCATTCCATTACCCAAAGAGGGGATTTCAACTGCACATCCCTCATTTCGTTCAACAGATGCTTACCCTAAAGCTCACCCTCCCACCCCTGCGTAATGCAACATTTTATGACCGATTAAACATTCAATATATACAACACTAGAGATGGGGATGTAAGGTGATGTAAACAATGTTGTGTATTGTGATTGATTTTTGTGAAAAACTATTATTACCTTTTCCACCAGGTAGAGAGTGCTTGGAACCAAGCTGTTCGACGTAGACACAGGAGCTCAGCGCGACGGACGAATGGGGTCGTTGCGGATGATGAGTGAGTTAAGCCGAATGGATATAATAAAATTTATATTGAAAGTATAATTATCTTTTCCGCTATAAAAATTGTTGCTGGTACGTTCCTCATTATTTTTGTCATGCAATGACAACGCTCAGTAAACGATGCGTTATGGTCTTGCACAGTTGGACGTAAATCCTAAAACCACAATCGTTAATACAGAATAAAAAAACTGTGTCTGCTGGAAGGTCGAGGTCACTTTCGCAAAATACAAAACAACTGAAAAGAATTTGCGTGGTGTTTCTGTACTTTTTGGAAAAACTGACCTAGAAAAAGTGAACCGGGATTTTTTTTTTAAGTGCCAATGGCTGAAAGGATCTTCTGGTGCGTGGATATTGTCATCGTTCGATACTTTTTTTTTTTTAGTATGGGCTATAGTAATTGGTATGGGCTATGGATATTTTGGAGTTGAGTTTTGCTTTCTGCACTGAATTACCTACATAATTGTCTTGATGGATTAGTAGTAGAAAGGTAGAAAGTACGACAATATTTTGCCGAGTTTTCCCAAAGACTGGAAGCCAGAAGTGGCGATTAATTCTTGTAACGTCATCCGGATTCTGCAAGTCCTTCTGTTCAGTAAACGATGATTATAATATGGACTAACTAGTGCATTAAACGTATTCAGCAATGATATTATTATAGGTCCGTGTAAACTGTGTTTGGGCTAAAAGTATGGGCAATGCGCCTAGTGTGCAACGCGCTAACGCAAGTATTGGCCCTACCTTAAAATGCGTTCATTAAAAAACACAGCTTTATTACTCAAAATCTGCATAAAAATGTTAGGTTCCGTCCCGTTTTGAATCTACGCAAACCAGATTTCATACACAAGATAATTTTTTTACAATCGGAAAATAACCTCATAAAATTTTATGACTGGAAATATTCAACTGTGTAAATTCCCTATATTGTTGATGTAGGCCTACCCTAAATTGGCGCGGCCCCTAACGTGGCGCACTTTGATTTTTCGCCTGTAGCACCTAGCTAGAGCAAAAGTTTTAACTGAAATTTCACAGAAAGTGACATTTCATCAAGTTCGTAATAATCCCGTTTATAAATCGCGAGTTTATCTACCCGTTACAAAGTTAGAAGAAAAGAAATATTTCGGCGTGATTTTCCGATTTTATTTTGAAGTACACAGTGAACCCTTTGAAAATGCCCTCCAAAAATAGAATATAATTTTCTGACAAACTTCTAATTGGGTAGGCCATATGTAAGTAGAGATAATAATGGATTATCAGAATTTATCAACTTTACAGAAATTCTGAAATGCTAATTTGGAATTTTCCGAGATTTATTCAAGTGCACCACTCCACATTAGGGAACACTCACCCAATATTGTGCCCAATTTCCGGACGCCACCGTTTTTGAATTTCGGATTAAATTTCACTTACCGAAATTGTTCACAGAGGTTAAATAGCAAGCATTAACAAGCTAAAAGTACCAGTATTTTACTGAATGAATTTGAAGTTTGTCAACAAAGAGGTTTGGCAACACTACACGAGGAAAGTCGGGTAAACGTCGAAGTGCGCTACGTTAGGGAACACCACTATATACCGAGGCGTAGATTTGCACATAGTTTATCACGAACGATCTGGCGGTCAATGCGGTAATGTCTGTGGTTGGAAGGGTATAATAATATGGGCTGTTGTTGGCCCTTTGCCCCTTTCGTGACCTTGATTGGGATATAAAAAATTGTGACTTTTTACATATCACAACGTCAACAAAAGCTTCGAAGTCGAATATGTACATACATGTTTATTAAGTCTCAGAAATAACTTCTCGCCAGTTTCCTTGTTCGTTAGCATGAAGTGAAACCTCGATAAGTCAAACTCTGATAACTCGATCAAAACAACTGTTAACTCAAACAAATCCCCCCAGTAGAGTAGTATGACGATGATATACAACTTAACCCTGCTTAACTCAAAACTCTGCTTAAGTCAAATTTTGAACCTGTTCCCTTGAGGTTTAGTCCAGATTTCACTGTATGATAAAATGTTTTTAATGAAACGACTGATGCCAAGTGGCGTAGCCACGGGGGGGGGGGGGGGGGGGGGGCATGAAACCTTGTCGCCCCCATGCAATCGCCCCCCCCCCCCCCTCCCCCCCACTGAGATTTTGAGTTTCTAAAAAAATTATCATTGATCTACATGACGCCTCCCATGAAATGTTCCAGCGCCCCCCCCGCGCCCCCCCCCCCCCCCCCCCCCCCCCCCCCCCCCCCCCCCCCCCCACTGAAAACATCCTGGCTACACCACTGCTGATGCCTCCAATGAAGCTAAGCTAGTTTGAATACAAAGTCGGAAATCATTGGAACGGGCTCAACCTCGTTCCCATGGGTACGAGATCTTGCTGCGCCATGTTGTTCACCATCATGCCTTGCGCGAGTGAAGGAACGCCATTGATCTCTGTGTATATGGAGATCAATGAGGAACGCCCACGCGCCCATGAAGTCGAGGCTGGAACGAACGGGCTTGAACCTAAAGCGGTCCGAGGACTTCTGCAAGTTTAATTCAACCACTATATGAGGATAGCGCCCTCATGCGACATGGATACGAGAATGGCCGACGACGTTGAGGTATGTTTTCTCTTTTTCGACCGTGTTTTCTCCCGTTTCCCATAACGAGTTGTGGTTTGAAATCCAAAAAAATGAAGCATATCATCGCTATAATGTGCAGGGTTATTTTTGTCTTTACAGGAATCTGAAGTCTTCGAGATAACTGATTTTACAACCGCATCAGAATGGGAAAGGTAACTGAAGTACTGTTATTTTTAATTAGGGCGCCCTCTATCACTGAGATAAATTTTGTTTGATGGGAAAACAAGTAGGCACACAACCCAGTTATTTTTTTTTATTTTATGCAAATTTTACTAAAATGTTCCTGCTTTAATTTATTCTTGCTCCATGGTGTAACATGGTAACTTGTCAACGTTTTGTTACAATGTGTGACATTGCTTCTGTAATCTGTGTTTCAAATTTTCACGTAGGTTCATTGCACGTCTCGAGCAAATCATCCATGATTGGAAGCTCACTACGTACGTGAAGGGACCGCCCCTCAAAAAGGTAACCAAACTGGCTTTTTTAATGAAATTTGTTCAGTGATTGTCAAGCAGTTTGATACCCACCTGAAGCTAAAAAAAAATACAAATAAAAACTCATTTTTTAAAGAAGTTTTTGAAGCTGGCAAAAATGTTCAAAACATTTTTTTAAAGTGGAATATTTTTCTTTATCTGCACAAAACAATCTCTATTATAATGTTATCATTACCCTTCCCCCCCCCCCTCCAAAAAAAAAAAAAAATCTGGCACTTTGGATTGATGAGAATGTGGTTCTAGCTGCAATTTTGTTTGAGTAAAAGTATAGTTTAGAACACCTCTATGTATTACTAGTACGGTTCAGAAAGTACTATTGCAAAAGACTTAATTTTTAAGACTTTTGGCAGCTTCAAGCAGTCTTTTTTATTGAGATTAAATCTGTGATTTTATAATATTGATCAGTAAAAAATGTGAGTTTCTTACCTGTTTTGGCAGTAGAGACGTTTAAGTCACAGCACAGTCTTTTCATTCTCAGTGGAACAGGGTCCTAAGCTTCTTTTGTACCATTTGTTCCATCTTCCCGAACAGGGTGAATTTTCCACCGGAGAATGGGAAGAACAGGCAGAATCCATCAATTTTGCCACCGTGTGCTTCACGGTGACGGAGTATCACCTCAAGCAGACCGCAGTGGTGGAAGGAAGCACACAAGAAGAAAATGAAGGTTTGTGGACAAAAAGCCAAACAATCTTCAAATGCCTCTTCAACACTGCACACTTCTCTCTCGATAAACAATCTTCGTGACCATACTCTTCTTTTGTTGAACTTGAACCTCATATGGAGGCAGATACTAGACTCAGACTGCCTCCTTACACCGATCGCTCTGCTTTCACCTTTTAATATGAAATATGTCCAGAATTGCATTTTTAGGCTTTGCAATTGAGATAGATATTCAACTTTTTATTTTTGGTTTGGAAACACACTGACTGACTGAACTAAATTGGGCCTCAAATTCCTCATAATTTGGAACACTAAAAACTTCCCAAATTTTCTTGGAAATTTCAAATAGCCTAAACTTGAAAAGGGGAGTGTGTGGCCTAGTGGTTAGGGTTCGTGACTCATGATCAGAGGGTCTGGGGTTCGAATCCAGCCGCTGGCCATATATTGTGTCCTTGGGCAAGGCACTTCACCCCCACTTGCCCCTCTCCACCCAGGAGTATAAATGGGTACCAGCATTAGCTGGGGAGTAACCTGCGATGGACTGGCATCCCATTCAGGGGGAGTAGAAATATTCTCAGTCGTTTCATGCCAAGGAAACCGGAGATAAACACCGGCCTGATGAGCCACATTGGCTCGCGACAGACTTTACTTACTTTACTTTACTAAACTTGAAATCCAGGAATGCCGAACTTTAATGTTCCTGTGTCAGTATGCTGATAAGTGTGCTTTCAAAACGATAAGTAGAATATGGCAAAGTTTCTGAGATGAATGTGTTGTTGTCGGAACGGGAAGGGCGTATGACCAAATCGGGAACAGTCCGTTTGCTACATGTATTGTAGACTCAAAAAGCAACAAATAGAATAGCCTGGGTTACCCTTAGCCCATTTGAATGTAATTTCCCATTATCAGATTCCTTGCCCCAGGCTATGGAAGACATGCTACTGATGGAGAATGACTTCCCACCACGGGCCCACTGCATTTGCAGATGGTGAGTGAATAATTATAGGCGGGGTTAGGCTAGGGGATGCCCATTTTGGGCTCAACATTTATAGATGTGCATATGGTGAGTAGATGATTGTGGGCGGGGCCAGGCTAGGCGACGCCCAGTTTGGGCTCAGCATTTGTAAATGGTGAATATGTAGATGATTGTGGGTGGGCTCACCCTAAACGACGCCCATTTGGGGCTCAGTATTTTTAGATGGTAAAAATGTATATGGTAAATGAATAGTTGTGGGCGGGGTCTAGCCAATGTCTGTATTGGTCTCTGCATATAGTCTTGTGCACTAGCTCTCTGAAATTATCCCAAGTGTAAAAATGTTTAATTCGGTACGTTTCCTTTTGAACAATAACAGGTATGGACTGAGACACTTCGTGGTGTTGACGCCTGTCGCCAACAGCGACGCAGTGTTGTCAGAGAGCAAGATCAACTTGCTGCTAAGCTCCATGGCGATTGCTGTTAATAACACCAACTGGTAAACATCTGTGCGTCTGTCGGGGTGTTGGGTTGTTTGTTTGTCACTAATCTGTCAATCTGTTTTTCTTTGGGTCAATATCGAGGAAGTAAAACATTAATAGCTACCATTTTTTTTCTTTTTCTTGTAGCCTCTTGCCCATCTTTGCCCAGATTCAGCAGAAGTGGCGTCGGATGTACACCGGTATCTGTGAGGCGCCGGGCGCTCGTACGACCTTTGACATGGTGCACCTCAAGCGAACCCCACACCAGTACGGTCACATGGAGGGGCTCATAAACATCTTCAAGTCCAAAATTGTGAGTCCATTTTGCGATTTCATTGTGGGGAATATTTTCCTCCCGTATGTCACAATATTTGGTTTTTCCAGTCCCAATTTTGAGTCTTTTTGGTGTCATTTGTGAAACGGCATTAGTTGACTTCACAAATTAAAGCAAGTTGTACACTGATCATTTTTTTTTTTTTTTTGGATAAGTTCTTAAAAAAAAACCCCAAATTGACAGAAACGTGTTGAAAGATAAATTTGTTTTGAAAGATAATCTTGAAAACAAAGCAAATTGACGGAAATTTTTTGAAAGATAAATTTGATTTTTCAAACATTTTCTGTCAATTTAGTTAATTATTAGACTTAATCAAAAAATTTGATCACAGTAACATTTGTTTTGATTTATCTTCGGGTATTGTACAGTATTCTAAAAATCCTGCAACAATTTTGAGTCATTGTTTTGTCCATGTTCCCAGTGATGTCAAATTTGTACATGCTGTCTTTACTAAACTTTGATTTTGGTCAAGGCTATATTCATTTAAATTAAACCAAAATGGCTTTTTTGTCCTCATTTTGTGATTCCCAGGCCACCCCGATTTCCCCGTTGCCACAAGTCAAAGCCTCCATTAGATTCACCTACGTCCTGCATGATTGGACGCAGTATGCCTGGTCACTACAACCACCCGGTAAGATTTCTATATGATTTACTCTTCTCCCAAAATTCAAAATTGAACAATATTATAGAAGATAGGGCTTGTCTTAACTGCTCATTACATCGACACCATGCATTTATAGCACCAAATCCATTACAAGTGCACTCATGGTATTCACATCAAATAAGGATTAAGAGGGTAAAGATTATAATCGGATTATAAAATAAATTGACTAAATTTACAATGACTAATGTATTGATAAATTATTAAATTGGCAAGAAACAAGCATAAACATGTCGACTTGCATCTTTTTTTCCCCTCCAGACTTGGATTCTCCCCTTGGGGATGAAGTGGGATATCCCGGCTTTAAGGCCCTCCCCTTTGGCGCAGTGGAAGATCCCATTAACGAGTTACACCTGTCGGCCACTTGGCCATCTCAAGCAGAAAATACCATCGTCGATAATGACGTGTACTCGTAAGTTAATCAGTAGATCGATGTCCACATGTAAACAAAGACATTTAGCACAAATTATACTAAAGAAGTTTATTTATTAGGAGTATCACAGAATTTTCTGAAATGTTTGACATAATGTGTTGTATAATTCCCAGTGACCTCGATGCGTCTCAAGCCCCTCAGTGGTCCGTCAGACTTCGCTTGACGGAAAAACCACAGTGCCTGCTTGGTAAGTGTCCCATTGATAAATCACAATTTCCATCTGATTAATCATTCCATTTCATAAAATCTAGTTAAGTATATAGCTACTGTGCCAATTCCACGTGTGGTTTAGCTTGATCTCCAGCTTGATTTTCTTGAAATTTTTCAAACAAAAATGGACTTTAGGTAGAAAATCGAAACACTTTTGGAAAAAAAATTGGCAATTTCAGACACTGAGGCAAAATAGGGTGACTTTTGCTAAATTGTCAAGAAAAAGCAGGACACCTCAAATTGAAGAAATCTTCAGTGGTTTGATTGAGATCAAGGAAGCCTACCCCAGCTGCCCACAAAACCTTTTCATATTCATCATATTTCTGCATGCAGTTTCTGTACTAATCAGTTTTGGAACTTTTGCTGTTGAATTTCCAGGGGAGTACCTGAGCGCGTTTGCAGAACTTGTCCACAACCGCGACTCCACGGATCAACTACTTGGCAAGCCCGCATTTGACGACATGGACGATGGTAAGTCAGAGTGACTTCTCTCCTTCACCTTCTCCTTCACCACTTGGCTCTGCTTCTCTGTATCTTACATCTTAAAGAAACTTGAGTCTGACCATGACGTATCATCTTTACCAATTTCGGCCCATGTAGCTGCTTTCTGGAAGGCCTTTTTTTTTCAGTAATTCGACAAAATTCACCAACGACACCACTAAGGCTGAGTCCTAGTCCCTCCGAGTGCAAGTATGAGTCACAGTCCTCCAAAGTCTGTGCTTGAGTCTAATTCTTCTGATCTGAGTCCAAGTCCGAGTCCTGGAAATCTGAGTCTGAGTCCAGTCCTTTTGGTTGAGTTGGAGTCGTTCAAATCCAAGTCCAAGTCTTGTTACAAATCATCTTTCTAAGGCATTCATCAATTTCATTATCCGGCTGACTGATTGAATTCCTGCTATTGTCTATTTCCATAAAGAAACGTCAGAGCAGATCAGCCAGGCCTTACAACGTCTGACAGACCCAGGTCGGGTTCACCTCCCCACGTTGTCATCTGTTGTCAGCCGAGCTCGCACCAGGATACGATCTCGACAAAAGCAGGTGGAAGCACCTATATCGATCGACACGCTGAACGAACTTCTATGGGTAAGAACCAGTATTGAGAGATGTATAATAAATATCTTTATGTTGATGTCATGTTGGGTTTAGTCCTTCAATGACGTAATTCATATATGAGATTCGAACCAGCAAGCCGACCCCGACTAGCTCGGTGGTCAAGTGGTAAGACATCTTCACTAGTAAACAGGAGGTCTGGGTTCGAGTCTTGTAAATGTTTACTTGCAATCCCTCATATAACACTCAGTATACAGTGTTTATGCAATTATATAAAAAAAAAACACTTATTTATTTATTTTTCAGCATTTGTTTCCGGACGCAGCCAATCAGGATGAGTCTAGCGAGTCATGTGATGAGTCAGAAAAGGACGACCAGACGGAACCCATCAATGTCCAACCGGAGGTCAAGGTACGCAGTCTCACGAAGACTCTTAAAACTCAAGAATATGCCGGTTTCTTTTGAATGCGAACAAACAGTGTTCTCAGTGTGTTGCTGGTTTTTTTTTTCCACAACCAAGTTACAAGTCTTCCCAACATTGTAAGGCCAAAAAAAACAAGTAACAGTTTCTCATCCGAACTTTTTGAAAACAGCACTTTTTTGCCAATGATGAATCCAAGATGGCGGATGTGTTTTTTTAAAAATATCCATCGCTTTTGTGCTTTGTTTTATTCCAAGACAGGGATGCTGTTTTCTAAAAAATTAGCAGTCACTTTTCTGAGACAAGCTGTTTGACCTCAAAATGACTATTCATCATCATTTGAAGAAAAAAAATTCAGACACAACATATTTCTGATAATGAAAATATCAGAAAATACAGCAGTTTTTTGCTGTTGAAAAAAGGGAAAATTAAAGAAAAAAATTATGCTGCTGGAAAAATGGATGCAGACAGGTTCCAGAAACTGGTATATTTGTTATTTTGCCTAAACATTCCACTTGAAATGTTATCTCATCTCCGCTTTTTCTAAGGAATGGTATCGTCACTTCAAGTCCGGTCCAGAAGATGGCCTGACCTACAAGTTAGCCGTAGCCATGTGCGTGGTGAACCACAGCCACGGAGGACTTAAGGCTGTGGCTCATCTCTGGCAGGAGTTTGTACTAGAGATGAGATATCGATGGGAGAACGTGTTCTTAATACCAGGGTGAGTTTAGAGTTAGTGAAGGATTGGGCAAGCTCTCTAATGCTCTAGTCTCAGTTCCAGGCTAGATTAAAATCATGTTTCTCTGACGTAGCCGTTAGGGTTCATCTAGTGCAGGCTAGTGCTAAGCCGCTGTGGCAGTAAGGGAATCTTTTAAGAAGCTGAATCCAATCAAATCTTGAGAATCCTGCCAATTGGACTCAATTGAAAAATTGCTTGCATACCTCACTCATGTAATATTGGTATGTGAGATGTGCACATATCTTGCAAACCCTCGAACTGATTATGTGCAAGGCTTCTATCTACAATTAATTTAAAGTCATTGTTTTTTCTGAATACTACAGACTGGCTTCTGGAAATCCCAACATGGGCTGTTGCCTACTGCACCAGAAACTACAGGTAAAACATTATTGTAGAAGGATTTTATCCAGAATTAGCGACAATTTATCTTAGTATATGCTTATCTACATTTCGAAAATATGGGTATGAAAAAACGTTGTCCTTTTTCGCTGTAATAAATTGGAAAAATACCTGTATGATTACAAAGAAGCTTTTGAATTTGGTAATTAAGAAAAAAATAGTGGACCGACTTTGGGACTTGCCCAGTTTTTGTTAATTTAACAAAAAGATGTGGAAAAAGATGAATTCCTATTTTCTGTAGATGTTGAATTGCTGCATCGCTCGCAAGAAAGCCCGTGAGGAACGTCAGGCCAGCCAAACAGAGTCTGAAGACATGACGTCAAGAACTCCGGGTAGCTCCGATCAAAATATTGCCTCAGAGAACCAAGAAACGGGTTTCTGCTACTGATGATGCTACCGGAAGCATCACTCCATTCGCCTCGGCCAATCAGCTTTTAGGAGACGATCCAGCGTCCAATGAGAAGCCACGATCAGTCTCTAAGGTCTCTCTGAGGGAGGGGCAGTCTGTCAAGAGTGACAGCGACAGCGAAGAGGAATTCTTCGAATGTGACGAGGACTCCTTCCCAGGGAGTCCCAGTAAGAATAAAGCCGATCTGGATTCAAGCGAGATGGAGGTTGAAGAGGTTCATTTCCAGGTCGGCTCCGAAGCACTAGAGACGGACCGTAGAGTGGCGATTTCAGAAGCCAATAATGAGACGAGATCGCAAAAACCCAGTGGGAGGCTACGTCCGTGCGGGGACTTGAAGCTGTTGAACAAGGATGAGCTACTTTATATTCCCGTCACACAGGTAGGCAACTCAAACATATGTTAGTATTGGATTTTGTACTTCAGGGCTGTCCGTGAGCTTGAGAGAAGACATTCAAAGCTTGCCCTTCCCTAACAAATGTGCCAAGATGAACATATCCTGTTGTTGATCTATAACAATCTGGTTCCCTGACTTTAGGACCCTGCCCCGATGACAGAAGACATGCTGGAGGAACACGCTGAGGTCTTGGCTCAGCTAGGCACCACCTCGGAAGGGGCGGAGCTTAGAGCCAAGATGCAGAGTGCATGCCTGCTGTCTGATATGCAAGCATTCAAGGTAGGTGATGTCTAAGAATAACATCCAAATTAGCGGAATCTGTATCATAAATGTTGTCACAAATTAGGTCCGATTTCATGGCCTCTCTCACCACAAAATTTGTGATTAAGATGACCGTTCTTTGCTTACAGTGGCTGCAAAAAATGCGTTAAGCAGAAAATAATAACCATAACCCAAACTTTAATTTATCCAGGCTGCCAATCCAGGCTGTGAACTGGAAGACTTTGTGAGATGGTACTCACCCAGAGACTGGATTGAAGATGAGGAGGAGGAGGAAGATGAAGTTGAAGTAATGGAGGAGCAAGAGGATGAAGAAGGCAGGGCCAGGGAAGAAGGCGGGGCTAGGGAAGGAGGGGCCAGTAGAAGGAGAATCAAAGGATGTCTTAGCCAAAGAATGATGGTATGTATTCATTTACTTTGTTTGCGATATACATATAGCTTTATATGCTTGAGCGCCCCCCCACCCAGGTTGTCAATTTTTTTTTGGTGATTTTTGTTTTTTTAGTCCCACGATTTGTCCTTGGTGATATGTATGTGGCCTATTTTTGAGTAGTGTAATAGGGGTGTAAGTGGCACCACCAGCGTCAAAATAGTCCCCCCCCCCAAAAAAAAAAAAAAAAAATTTAAAAGAAAAACCAATTTTTTTTCTAAGGCCAAATATTTTGTCGACAAAAATTTAACTTCTAAAAAATTTGAAAAAAAAAAGTTGTGAGCTCCCCAAAGCCAAATTCTGGGTACGCCACTGGTTTCTTGTCCCCGCCCACTTCTTTTTTGTCCAGGCTGGTTTTTTTTTGGTTTTTGGGGTTTCTTTTTTAAGATTCATACATTTGTGAAATTGTAGCTATGTAGGAGGGTTATAGCTCCTTCATATAGTCAAGAAAATATTCGAGAAAATTGAAGAATCCATCTGCCATTTTACTCTGCCTTATTTCAAGTGTCAAACCTCAAATGCCCATAATTATTAAAGAATTTCATATTTTTTTTTTTACTGTGCTAAGTGTTACATAATTTCTCTTGTGGATTTCCTGGTCCCCAGCTCCCTGGTAACACATGGCAAGAGGTGTGGTCCCAGTCCAAGGCGGTAACCGCCCACCTCCAGAAGCGACTCTTTGACGACACCAAGGAAGCAGAGAAGGTTCTTCATTTCCTTGCCTCCCTGAGACCCGGTGAGGTGGTACTCCATCTACTGCCCTTGATCATTCACGCTGCACTAAGAAGGCTGGAAGAAGCTGGTAGGATGGATATATTTTCTTAAGAATGCTTCGTCTTCTCTGCGTGCTCTTTTTTCCGTGCTGCTTGCATGATTGTTTTAATTTAATGCAGTACTGAAAGAAAAGATGCATGAATTTTCATGAAAGTGTAGCTTCTGAAATTTCAATGATTTGAAGTCTTTTAAAACATGTGATTTTGAGTTCTGTACATGGAATCAGAAGAAAAACGTACAAAGAAATCGAAATAATTCTTTCTAACCTTTCAATTTTGTTTACATTTATTTACATTTGGATAATTTTCCTTCATCTGCAGATGTAGAAGAAGTTCCATCGCTACAGCCTCACTTTCCAGGACTCGTGAGTAAGGCCTCGCGAGTCACTCGAGCTCCTACTCAAGATATCAGGAAGTATGAGGTGAGGGTCAACCAAGTCAAGTCAATCCTTTCATTTTTCTTACATTGCCATAGTGACGGTCAAATTTGCTGACCTCAGGAAAGTGTGAAAAAATGACTATTCTAAAAACCCAAATTTGTATTTTTTATATATTTTTAAAATATTTTTTGCAATGTTATCTGAAATTTTGTGAGAACTGATTTGCATCGCAGCATATGTATGAATATTCACATCTCTGGTTATTTTTTTTATTTTCCCCCATCAGGAGTTAGTCAAGCAGATATCTCTCATTGAGGAAGTCATCGCTCGTTCCCTGTCCCTCAAAGCCAAATTCCTCCCACCGAAATCAGAAACAGAGACGCCGCGCCACACCGGCGCCCTGCAGCAGTTTGTATGCGATCTCATGGACAAGCCTGAGGTTCCTGTGATTGGTGCGGGCAGGGGACCAGTTGGGGAGGCCATACATCAACTATTTGGAGCCGCACAGAGGGTAAAGTATCCCTATACATTGTATTACAAAAGTTGAAAGTCTTCAAAGTTGAAAGTCTTCAAGGGAGTGTAAATATATAAATAATCAATAAATAACCCCCCCCCCCCAACACACACAAAAGGAAGGTCTCAATAAATCTTCCAAGTAATGTTTGTAAACCCCTGCGTCCAACAAATAGAGAATTGGTAACAATACCACAAATGCTTTCCTCCCGCAGGCTGCCCACATGCTTCCGGAGGTAGAAGCCGATCTCCAAGACTCCCCAGGCAAAGTCAAGTATTCCCACACTCACAGCTCGGTACCGGACTTCCCCCGCCCGGCCGGTAGGGAGTTCATCTTCCGTACCGTAGCGCCCCGCCCTGCTCCTTACTCCCAACCCACCCCTCAGAGGATGTACTGCGTCTTGGTAGATGAGGAGTTCCGATTAGCGGGAGCCTTCTCTCAAGACACCACTTTTCAGTAAAGGTAGGATAGGTACATGAAAGAGGGGGCTACTCGTGGTAAGAAACATTGGGTGGCAGTAAAGAATGGAACCTGTTGTAAGTGATTTTGCTGCTCGATGTAGTATGCTTTGTGCCGTTCAAGAGCTTGGGAGAAAATCTCACTAACTTCCTTGGTGGCATTCGAACCCACAACTTTCTGTTTACTAGTGCGGATGTCTTGCCACTTGCCTTCGCAGTGAGCTCACTGGTTTGAATTGTGGATTGAATCGTGGAGTAGAGTCATGGGATTTTGACTATTCAGCCTTGGTAGTGCAGTTGCATTTTAAGGGAGTCTTCAGGAGTGTATTATAATTCCTTGTGGGATAGTTTCCCAGCAAGAGAATTACAAAGGAGTTACATTGCTTCAGTGTTTATCCATTTTTTTTAATAATGAAAGTAAAAACACTTCACACATTTCATGAATACATGAGATTCAAGTGCAGCCAGTACTACAATATCTCCAAACAGTTTCAAGTGTAAAGTCTGTGGATGCAATGATCTAGGTCGAGGTTAATGAAACAAACTTGTATCCTAATCAGAACCAGAATGTTTTTCTTCAGAAGTCAGCTGTTTGTAATAGTGCTTCATAAAGAAGACCCCAAGCCTGGCAACCTTTCATTTATTTCTGTGATTGTGACTTTTCAGCATTTGTACATTTTCGAATTGTAGTTCGTGCCTTCAATGAAGACAATTGCAAAGGCTTCTGCTGGCAGTAACATGGCGAGTGATTAGATGAACGGGAACAACGCTTCAAGGAAATATGTTATCTCAACGAGTGATCCACATTTCCCATTATCAACATTTTTGGCTTTTACTGTGATACTAATGGACTTATGTGTGTCCTTAAATTTTTTGAATCAAGACATATTTGCAAAGTTGTGAACACATCGTTGACGGTGGAGAGTTCCCTCAAACTGAAGGAAAATAGGATCATCTACAAATGATGGAAGCCACCCAATGAATGGCAAGATTAGTCCTTATAACTGCTTGTTTTTTGTGGAGAATTGCCGTCAGCTTTAAAGCAACAACACAAAAATAGTAATTTATGGCTGTATTAAAAAAAACATGTATAAAGAATATATTGTGAATAAAAACATTTTATGCAAAACACATGTTGTTGTCTTATTTGATTTTTGTTGGAATGCAAATGATGTACTAGTCTATGTAGTAGATTGCCATGGTCTATTACATTTGAGCAGATTCGCTGATTAATTATGCAAGACAACCGCATTTTGACCAAACAGCGGGCGCTTTCTATATCGGGTCTTCAGTCATTCACCCGTTGCGCGTCGAAGACATGGAAGAAGAAAAAGCTGTTGCGCGCTTTGTATCATGTTACACGATATGCGTCCGGCTGTTGTATTACAAAACACTGCATTCGAATTGACCAATCAAACCATTAGTCCTGATTTGGGAATCAAATGAAATGGGCTTGCCTGTCAATTTTAACTAACAAAGATATTTCTTAAAAACTCACTCCATAAAAGTACTGCTTATTTTCATGTAAAATTTAATGTCTTTGTTTTGGGAATCTTTCAAATCAAAATACATTGCCTTCAAGCTCTTTTACCTATTTTTTCTTGTTAAAAAAAACACCCAAAATGTAAATGAAGAAATCATATCAACTTACGTCAATATCTGTACTTTAGCAAGGATAAATACAAATCATTAAAAAATGAAACAAATCCTGTTGGTTGCATTATGACTTTAAAAAAGGTGGCAATTAATAATTGACAAAATAAGTTGTTTCCGTAAAGTACATTTTCTGAGAATTTTAGGAAAATTGCAAAATGTTTCCTCGCTGTCTTCAGAGTGGCTTAATCTAAATCTTCCTAACTTACACACCTACCCAATTGAAAATAACCTCCAAATGCTGATAAAGCATTACAACATTTCAATATACTTGTATTTTCAAAGCCTGATAAATTGTCAATTTGGTCCGGGTAGCATTTCAAAGCAATGGATGAGTTCGAATTGTGAAAATCCACGATATTTGAGCCTTGCATAACTTTAAAATAAACACCTATCCGCCAGAAAGTACCATAGGTCCTGCTTACAAAAGTGCCAATTCAAACTAATATTACAATGATCGGAATAAAATACACCCACTGAAACACAGAGCATCCCAAAAGCTATTGTTGTTTTGATGCAGAATGAAAGAAAAAGTAAATAATCAGCAGCAGTGAAGAAGACCCCAATAGTTTTTCCAAAATATTTTTTAAAGGTCTCTTGTTGACAAAGGGTTGACAAAGTATTTACACTCTTTGTAAGAACTTTAGAAATATTTCACTTGAATGTTTACAATGAATTTGAATTTGTCACATGAATTTTTTTCACACAAATTTGACAAGGACGTTTATGACACATGTTAACAACACAAGTTTGCATATGTGCTTGTTGTTTTTTGGTTTTCACTAATCCACCAATGCTCAAAGTACTAACACAAATTTGAAGTATCTAAACTATGCAGCTAGAGTCAGGGTCAGTAACCTTGGAGACCGTTGTAAATTGTTTGTTTGGAATCTTGCTGGAGTATTTTCTTTATACCTGAAACAAAACAGAGAGAAATACACAATTTAAATAATCACTTTTGCCAGATTTTCACGATTGTCAGTTAGTTATTTTAAAACTGTTCATCATCCATGTGATGCCTGAAAATTTTGAGGGCGAGAGTGCTTTAAAAAAAATGTAAGGCCAACTAATATGTTAAAAGGAGGGGGGCTGTGTAAAGGCACATAATTTTGTACAATTTCCAACACTTCAAAAGAAAATTGGTTCAAGAAATATTGTCATTTGGTTAGTTGAACGCTTAATCTTCTGTGCCAGACTTTTTAAGGTAAAGAGTGGCTCCAGAAATGTTCTGGCCAACTACAGTCGACTTTGTTAACACAAACACTGTTAATACAAGTTCTGGTTATAGCGAACATAAAGCCTTGGTCCCGCCTGTGCATTTATGTGCACAATGAATGGGATTGGCAAAATTCTGATATAACAAACATTTTGTCTAGGTCCGACTGAAGTTGTATTAACAAGAGGTCACTATAACATCTGAAACGAGGGAAGCTTGTGTAAGTGATACATTTGTGAAGTGTTTATTTTCAGCCAAAAAAACAAAAGCGAAGTAGGTCATGAAAAAACAATCTTCAAGCATGCCACCTTATGGTTTAAGCTCACAAGAGAAAATGGATTGATCTTCCAAAAACTGTCCCAACGTACCTTCCTTCTGTTCTTGCGTCATGTCTCCTTTAGGGAACTCCACGTCAAATGTGATTATGAGCATTCCTTTGACGTGGTTATTCTCGTAGTTCGGCATTCCCTCTCCTTGCTTCTTCATCTTGGCACCTGGCCAAGTCATTTTTTCTCGTACAATTTTGACCTGAAAAAAAATTAATACATGTATTCCTAAAAATGAGTTTTGGCCATTTTTGGCATAAATAGGCCCTAGCTTAGCCATAATCCCTTGACTGATTTACTAGGAACCTTCCTCACTCCAACAGATCCCAACAAAGCATGCAGTCGGATTTTGAAGGGTTGGGTGGTTAGGGTTAAAACAGTAAAAATTCTGGACCCTAGTTTGAATTTGCAAAAATTATGAACCTGATTTTTGTAAAAAAAAACAATATTCAAGACTTACACCCTTGTGAGTTTTCTTCACATCAGTCTTGAGAATTCAAAAAATTTATCACAAATGGTGTGCCATTGATCAACTGATTTATGAAACTTCTCTCAAAAAAATTCCTGGGAGTTAGGTTGACAAAATTGTTTTGAAAGGAAACAATTTTCTGTTCCTTGTGAAGTTATAGATGTACAAAGTCTTTACCTTGTGGCCATCAAGATGTGGAAATTCCATTGTAAAGCCAACTAGTGCATCGCTGAGGGATATCGTAATATTTGTATACAAGTCATCGCCTCGTCTTTCAAATCGATCGTGCCTGAAGAAAGAGATTAAAAAGATTTGTCAGTCAGGGCTAACAATTATAGAATGTTTTAAATAGTGCCTTATTGCAGAACAAATGCCACATTACATTATAAATCCTGTGTAGATGTGGAGTCATGTGCGATACATTGGACTTATGTTCCTCATTTCTAAGTCATCGTTTCTTTTTTTATAAATAATTCCCTCAAACACTCCATTTCATGTGAAAAACCTCTTCACTTTTTCCTTTCCGTTTCTTTTGTACAGACTTATATTAATTTCAAGAAGGCAACGTGGTGAGATGTCAACTACTTACTTTTCTGCGATTATTCTAAATCGGAGGTCGCCAGGTTCACCGTCTATATGTGGCTCTCCTAAAAATCATTTCCAAAAACAAACAAAAACAGAATAAAATATATTGTGCAATCTTATGAAAATAAATTATGATAACAGCAAGTGTTTTGTAAATACTTTGAATGCATTTAAATATATCGATAACATTTAAATAGTACATGTACTTAAGAATCAGACTAATTATTTGAGGATTTTGAGGCCTGTAAATGCAAGAGACATTGTTTTACCTTCAGCTAGGAATGGATATTCCTGACCGTCTTGCATTCCTGGTTCAATCTCTATCTCCAGTAATTTCTCTTCATTCACCAGCCTGTGGAGAAGACACACAACCATCATTTGATTAAAACTATTCCATCCAATTGATGTTGGTTTTGTATTAACCTTTAACCCTCCCCATCCCCAACCCATCAAAATCAAAGTGCAGGTGTTGTTAGAATCTGTTGGAGTGAGTACTGCACTAGTAAACTGATTATGCTTTAATGGGGTCAGGCATGCCATCATAATCAGAGTCCAACAGTTTGGGTGTTGAGTTACCATAATTATGGTGTTGGATTTTGCAAGAGTGAGGAAGGATCCCAGTAAATCACCCAAGAGGTGTAGGATTCAGTCAATTGAGAAGTTCAGAAGGAAGCTTTTTTGTGGGGGGAGTTGTTTTAATAATCCCATTTGAAATGCAGTCACAAAATGCAGTCATTTAATCGGTAACAATATCTCTTCTCATCGGGAACTTAGTAGAACAGGCTTGAAGTGTCGAAAATAAAAAAAACAATTCTCAATGTGAATCTGTAGTTCCAATTGGGAATACAAATGGAACACAGCACTCGTCAATGCTGATTGTACCTAAAGAATAGTTTTCTTGACTTACTTGACTCGTGGGCACTCGTCGCATACTTCATGCTGCGTCATTTGGAATCTCCCTGGTCCCAATTGCTGCGTTCGCATCTCTTGTCTGCAGTTACACTTCCTGGTACCCGGCGCTGTGTGGGCTACTGGTTTATATCTAGCCACCTGCATAAAATAATATATATTGAAAACTCTCTGAATAAATTTGACAACTAATTTTGAAAATAATCACAATATATTAGAACATTACTATAGTCTAGAACCTTTCATGATTCAAGATCATTACAATGTTCTAGAACATTTAACACTCACCTCTACAAAATTGCCGGTGTAAAGTTCCTCTAAAGACACAGGCAAGTCCACAGTGATGTCATCACCTCGTGGGGTCTCTGGGTTCCGTTGATGACCCCCAAACCCAAAATGTGCAAAATCGCCGAAGAAACTGCAACACACAAACAGGCAAAAATCCACATCGTAAACTATACACACAGGAATTCAATTTGTATGTGAGTTAGAGAAATAGAATTGTAATAGAAAATATATAACAATGAAAGTTACAGACATAAACTTGGACAAAAAATTAATAAATATACACATTTAACTCTTCAGTTTTGAAGAATTGTGTTGTCAAGAGTTTGGCATTTTGTGGTGTCAAGTTATAAAGGGCATGAAAAGCCCAGTTATGTAAGTTTATGACATTTTTGGATTTTTCAAACTGTGTTTATTTTAAATATTTATTTATAAGACCAAGTATTACCGGTTTCTTGTCCCCGTCCACTTTTTTACCGGCCGCCTCCTGTTTTTTTTTTTTTTTTTTTTTTTTTTAAATATCAATCATTAGCAAAATACTTAGTTGTTTTATGTCTTTTTCAGCAAAACTGTAGCTATGTGTGCAAGTTTAGAATCTGTTTTAAGGCGTTACAGCTCATTTGGACACAAAAGTATCAGCAAAAGAAAAAATGGAAAAATCCATCTTGAAGAGAAAAAAACCCAGGCCGCCTCCTCCCTTTTTTCAAAAGTCCAGACGGGCGGGAAACTGTTTATTTTTCTCTTGGCTAATAGAACCTACCTTGAGAAAGGATCACCATGTCCGTGTGATTCTTTGATGCCTTCCTCTCCATGTCTGTCGTACTGTTTTCTCTTATCATCATCTGACAGCACCTGAGCAAATTATCATCGTACAAAAACACACAAATTCAATCATTATATTAATTGTGCGTTTGGAAGAAAAAAACACCATACTACTGCTGTATCACAATGACCACAGACTCCCAAATTCTTAGTGTCAGTGAAACAGTTTGCAAGCATCACAACTGGCTTAACAGCAAAGTGGTAAAATATGTTTTAAAAGAGTGAAAACTGTTCACTATTAGATCTTGATTTAACAATTTTAACCTCTTGCCTCCACGGTTCTTTTTGCCCGAAAAACACCCTTTTTGGAGAACACAAGATATTCTGGCCGAATTTTGAAATTAAGTCAAACACCCCAAATACTGACTTTTAATAGTAGTTAGTACAATATTTGTACAAACTTCTCCCCGTTACTTTGTATTTTGCAACACTCCGAGGCCCGCCACTTGAACTTGTACAGCGGCAAAGTTCAAGTTTTGCATGTCTGCAAAACTGATGGGAACACTGACGTGTATAAAAGTCCACTGCCAGAGACTAAGGAAAAGCTTGGCGATTTAACCCGTCACCCACATTGCCAGACCATGTTTAAGCATCCTCTGGCGTTAACAAAGATTTTTGAAAGGAAAATCCACAAATCCAACCCCCCCCCCCCAAAAAAAAGAAGTAATTTAAAGAACAGAATATTATAACAATTTTACAAGCCAGAATACAGGCCCCTGGTCTCACCTCATACGCAGCTCCTAGATCCTTAAATTTTTCCTCTGCTTCTTCGTTGCCTGGATTCTTGTCCGGATGATACTGCATGGCCAACTTACGGTACGCCTTCTTGATCTCATTTTTTGAGGCTGTCTTGGGAACGCCAAGGATCTTGTAGAAATCCCGCCTACAAACCCACAAATGACAAACATAACACGTTAGATGTTTTCGCACTATTCAAAACAACCTCTTTCACGTTTACAAGAATTACAACTCAGCTTCATCACAGATCCATCGGTAATAGTGTAGTTAATAGGACCTCATTCTATTATAAGAGAAAAAGGACACGTTTGTTATTTTGTATGTTCGTTCATAGACAATGTGTTGGTAGCCACTAACATTATAATCACTATGATGTCTGTGCTAAAGTGGTTAAATTTCATGGATTTGCAACCCAAAAAATAATCCTGAGTATCATTGAAGCCCCATTACTTCGTCTTTGACATGTGGAGTAGCCAGTAGATAGGCCTACTTTCAAAGGTATTTTTGTCAAGTATTTTGCGTGGTTTTTGGCAACTTTTGTGGTGATTATTGGTGAACTCTAAAAATTCTTAAATTGAGATTGCATTCCGAGTGGGGCGCTAATACGATAATCCCAAATCCCAGAAAAGGAGTTAGCACCCAGGTTAGTGGGTCTAGTAAGAGGTGATCTAAATAAAACAAGACTGCTTCAGTTTGGAAAATCTGACAGAATTCACTTTTGTTAAAAACCAATAGGGAGGTATTCTTACTATTACGATTTCCCTTAGCATGCTTAGGTAAATTGATGATGGCTCGTCATTTGACATGTTCAAGTTACAAAAAAAGAATGAAATCAGGAAAAGGATTGAAGGAAACATTTTTCTTTTAAATTCTCCGCAAATTTAAAGGTCTGGGCCGGGAACGTCACCGACCGGCACCGGCACCCGGCATTGCCCGGCACAACTTGAACTAGGAACTGCCGAAACGGTCGTACTGACAATGATTGACATGTCATGATTGACGTATTGCTCAGATTCCAACCCCGTGTCAACAGCTTTCGTAAGTAAACGGAAAATCCCAAACCATAACTCATTACAACAATATATTCTTCCTTTCATTTAATTCAATCAAACTTTTAAAAAGCCTTACCCAGCGAGCACAGACAAGCAAATGTGGAGTAAAAGTAAGCACACCGCACACAGCGAATTCGCCATTTTTGCCCAATTTATGTGCTTCCTTTGCCGGCGTCTGGTTCTAATCCAACTAACACTTACGAGGAGTACGAGGTGCGACAGGGAGCTAGACCTATCCAACCGTTCGTTTGGTGGTGTTTATGTACTCCAAAACATCCACGGTGTGCTTTCTGGAAGTTCCACGTAGTTTAACACATAATGCATATTCATGAGAAGGAAGATTGTTCACACAAAAAATCGTGGGCGTGGTTTATGCGTGTTTGAGCTGCGGATGGCATATGACCTCATTCTTTTTGTCAAAGAAGGCCAAGGATAATGCAAATTTTGAAAATGTATAACTTTTTAGTTCGTAAAATGAAATAAAAGAACAAGGGGGCTATAAAATGGGGATGTTACAACTTCTTTTAGTCTGGCGAGAGCCATTTTCTGAGCTGTGGTGACACCCGTTGCATGTCCCATCGGATGGAGCCCTTATAACCAACGTTTGATATATCTGAGCATGCAGTGCACATTTTCTGCAACCCCAGCGCGCACAGCCAATCCAAGAGTCGACTCGTCTTTAGCTTTGGCTGCCTAGTGACCGTGTTTTGTTATACAACAACGGATTTAAGGGCTTCCAATTCTTAGCATTTTGGATGCAATTGGGCTCGAAAGTGGCGCCATGATTTTGCCATGAAGGGATCGTTTTTCAATAATGCTACTTTTCCGCATTGGGGAAAACAGGGGTCGTCTTCTTTGGGTGAGAATATCTCGAAAACTCCATGGTAAACCCCCCCCCCCCCCCCCCAAAAAAAAATGAAAAGAAAATGAAACGTGACATGTTGATCATTATTATTTCTGTGCAGCTTAAATACCTGTGAGAGTTAAGTATGGGCATTTAGCACTAGTGTCTATGGGATTTTTAATACTAGGTTGCACCCTGCAGTGTGGCCAACCTCTTTGTTAAGAAATACTGGTATATACTTTACCTTTGATACTAATGCTTGCTGTTGAACTTTTGTGACAAATTTCAGTGTTATTAAATTTATTGGAAATGGAAAATCGGTGGTGATTGGAAGTTGGGCACAAAATTGGCCGAGTGTTCCCTAACTTGGCGCACTTGAACAAATCTCGGAAAATCCCAAGTTGAAGGGGCACTAGGTCATGAAATCCCCGATAATGTTGTGTTTTGTATTGTTTGTCCAATTTCAAACATCTGGTTGAAAGATAACCAACCTAATGCCTTACCGTTTCCGAGAAAAGACAAAAAAAGACAATTTTAAAATGTTCAATAAAAAAATATGTGTTACTATTGCCTACGGTATGCCGAAGCACATGTATTGTGTGAAATGTTATTCTACTGGGCTATGATACTCATTCAAGTGCATTATCCACATTAGGTACTTATGCAGTCAGGTACACAATTTGTAAAAGTATTATACCCCTCCTACCTAATTACAGAAGATCTCATTAACATGCATGACATGCACCGGCAGCATTACACCACAATACAAGCAGCTGAGGACACCCTGTTCATTCTTAATACAAATCAGAATTCTTTAGGCATAGCCCTTTCGTTTCTGGGGCTTCTGTATCGAAATGTTTGAATATAGAAAGCAGATCAGCAGCCTCAAAAGTACATTGTTTATGTCATGTAGTTTTAATACCATTGTATACCATATTTTGGTTTGATAAGGTATCTAGTTTTATTGTCTCAATCAAAATACATTTTCGGTTTTTTTTATTTTTTACTTGCTGAAATTTAACGTCTAATGGTGCACCTAGTTCTATTGTATTAGTCATAATTATACACATTTATATTGTTTATTTTTAGTTCTGGTTCAAAACTCTTTATTTAGTGACATTTTTGAGAATGATTTTACTTTAAATCCATTTTTTTATAGCTTCTGATATGGCTTGTTGAAAATAACTTTAAATTGTCTGTGAATTTTTTTTTTTACCTTAACTTTATGTTATAAAGTACCAAATTAATTAATTTTTTAATTAAGTATTAATAATTTTCTAAGATTGTACATGATTATTATGTTGTGTTATCATTTGGCTGAATTGTTGGTTGAATGGTCATTCCTTCGAATCTTGTACTTGAGTCCTTCTTAAAGAGTAAAGGCATTGCAACCATCTGCCCACTGGGACATTCGGTCCCGGTGGAAGTGATGCGAATGGCATCCACAAGAAGACACAGTAATATCGCTGCCATGGTGGCACTATATAGGAAGAATGTTGCGTGGAAACTCCCAGTCGCATCAGAAAGCCAACCTGACAAGGAATCAGACAAAACCAAAAATGTTATTACGTAAAGAAACCACATCCAATCATTCTATCTTTCTTGTTTCAATTTAAGGTAACTGTTAAGACGTGAATGTACTCCAATTTGACTCCTGAGATGATTTTAAAGATGACATTTCACGAAATAGCTTGGTCTTTAATTACATTTAAGATGTCCTGTAATTCGTCTGGCTTTGGGCAAACCAATTGTAAGTCCCTTGGAACCTTTAAGCCGTTGATTTCAACGCTGTGACAAGTTGCTGAACCCGAACATGTATTTAAGTCGCATGGAAGTGCATTGAAATGACTTACCTGCTACAGTATCTCCAATGGAAGCAGATACTCCACTCAGAAATGTTTGCCAGCCCAACACACTGACAAATTTGTCGTCACCAAAAGGTAGACACCTCGTCATGACAAGTATCCCCTCGATAGCGCAACCCATTCCAGCTCCCACGACGAAGGCAGTGAGAATCTGACCCACGAATGGAGAGACGAAGGGTTCGAGGGCGAATCCTACTGCAACTACGCTCACAGCTATTCCTTCTGCGCTACGGACCGATATCCACTTCACATGCAAAGCCAGAGCACACAGAACCAATCCAACCAGGTTCCCAACCCCCCAAGCTGTAGTAAGGAATGATGCCTCCCTGGTGCTCAGACCAAGCGCCAGACCATTAGGTACTATGTAGACAACCACACCACCGTAGCCAATATTGTACAACATTCTCATAGTTGCTACAATCATGAATTCAGCACTCACGAAGACCTCGAGACACAGTACAGAGAAAACTGAATTCCAGAATTTGGATATCTTGGACTTATTGGGTTTGACCTCCTCCGAGGATTTACCAGGAGAGTTGATACCATCAATTGTGAGTTGCTCCTCGTGATCGGGCACCGCTTGGTATGAGATCGGCGGCCTTCGTATCAACATTCCTCCTACAACAAGATGAAAACCAACGCCACCGAGGAGAAGCATTGCTCCTCGCCATCCATACGTATCCACGAGAACTTGGGTTATTGGACCGAGCAGCATCATACCGACTGGCGATCCGGTAAGCGCGATAAAAACTGCTAAAGGATACTTCTCCCGGAAGTAAAAAGCAAGTTTGGCATGAGTGATCTCCACCGCAAACGTGACCCCAATTCCTGTTAAGTAGAAGAAAGAAAATACAATAATAATTTGTAAGACACCTAAAATATATAGGGCCTACACACTGTATGAAAAAAATTGCTGGATGGAATTCGAAGTTTCGAAATCCCACCCCCGTGACAATCTTGCCCAGAGAAGAATCATTCTGCATGTTGACACTTCATTGCTCTCGAGATGCCTACTGCGACGAATGCACACTCGTATTATCTGTCTTTTTAAACTTCTTATTAATACGTGATAGTTCTATTGATATTGTAGACATGAAACCTAATGACGTCACGCTTTGTTTACATGTGCGCTTTCCTATGTGGTAGACGGTCCCTACTTCGTCTGGCATCCCGACTTCGCTCCCACAGGAAAGCGCATATGAAACAAAGCCATTACGTCATTAGGTCTCAGGTCTATTGCTTGAAGTATTTGTGCATCACCCTTACCAGCGATAACAACCAGGGCAAGAGCCAAGATGGCGACACTGTGCGTAAAAGCAGACACCACCAGACCAACTCCGTAGAGTGTACCGCCAACAAGAATCAAGGAGCGACCGCTAAGTTTGCGTGCCAGAGCAGCGGCAAGGGGTGCTGAAGGGAAACAAAAGGGGAACGTTATATTACTGAATAAATTTACATGTACTTTATTTTATCTACTCTTTGACAATAAGATAGAAAGTGTAATGTCTACCAACAAAAGTTTAATCCTTGTTAATCAGTATTCAATTACATGTATATTCTCTAACCTTCAACCACAAATCTGCTGGCATATATTAATACCCCACCATATGACAAAATTGTGTAGAATACGCAAATGTGTGTGTTTCATATCTGACAATTGTGTTTGGTACTCTCAATCTTTCGCGTGCCTTACACTGCGTTTCGCCGTAGAGAAGTATCAATCAATACAGCAAGTTTTAATTAGAAATGTTGGTCCTGAAAGTTATATTACCACTATAAAGTACTTCAGATGTATGTGTGTTTATTAGCTCCATGGTACAAGCATTGCATTTTCTTTGTGGTGCTCTGAACAAAAAGGTCCACATTGACCAGGTAGCAGAGGCCTTGTGAGGACATGCCCACGACCCACACGAAGTTTCCCCCTCTCTGTAAAACAGGATTAGCGGCATTTGGGAGTTAAGGTTATCAGTGGCAAAATATAGAGGAACAGACAAGGGAATCATCTTCAAAAATGAGGGTTGAAAGAGTGTTCACAGTGTGAGTAAAATTACTGTTTCACCGTCTTTTGTCTTTACAACACGAAAGACAAAGGAATGTCCACACTACGTATGTTTAAAGTAAACATGGGTGAGTGATCTTGCTATCCTTTACGACTGAGGACTTGGGACAATGGGTAGTGTGCTATAACAATAACCGACGACCTGAGCCAAGTCATTAGGAGCTGTTCGTACTTATATTGTGATAAATGCCTGTAGGCTGTACAAATTCGGTGTTTTTTACTCCATCAATGCACGAAAAGGAACACACGTTTCTAAGCATGACCACACACAGTAAAGGCATCACACCTTCAAAAATTGATGTGACCAACAGTTTGTGAGATTTTACCTAAATTTGTGAGATTTCAACCAAATACGCTTGCTCGGTGCTTGCACAACATTATCTAAAATGCCCTGTCAGCTTTGGTGCTTTTAATTTATACAAGAGCATGTATTGTGTTGTTAGGTCTATGATATACCGTTAGTGTAAAAAAAAAAAATGCATCATAAAGACTACCTAAGGAATAGACATCATCTCACTTACTGCCATGTTATTACGACGTGCTTGCCCTCCTGAAACATGCACCAAAGTCTTTACAAAACTACTTTAAAAGAAGGAAATTATTGAAAATTGCCTTACATAGAATAAACTGTACTGCATAGTGTAGCGAGACTATGGAGCCGACGACCCACAACTCCGTACCGAAATCCTCCTTCATATAAGTGATCAGAACACCTAGAGCTTTCAGGTTGCCGAAAAAGACGAACTCTACCACGAAGCAGGCCAGAACGACCGCCCAGCCCCAACCTCCTTCTCGGTAACTCGGACTAACCGGCGCCATTATTTCCCATTAAGTGATGATACAGGAAGCTCACTCTACACTGACCCCCTCAAGGAAGGGAACGGTCACTCGTGATGGTTTGGAAAGAACCTGCACCGATCTATGGCCTGCCTCGGCTCGTTGTTCTCGTGTAGCCGTGCGTAATATTCTGCTCTTGTCCGAGCGTATTATAATTGCGTTTCCATGGTCGCATTTAAGCCCGTTTTGTGGAAGTATTTTGTTAAGCTCATGCATTATAAACACACAGACCTTACAACACACTGCCGGACGCAAAACGGACTAAAATGCGATAACGGAAACGCGGCTTAATACTCGGGTTAACACGGGTGATTCCTGAGCGACAATTCTTCCCGAGCGCCTGGTCGTTAAGAGTAAATCCTCGGGGAACCTTGGGCATGCTTGCTTATGTGCCAGACACGACGTCAGTTATTCTGCACTTATATTCCGCAGGATATTCGTGATGGCGAAAACGTTTCAGTGACAGTTATGCCTATACGCGCCTACACACGATCGAAAGGACAATAGTGACACGCTCCAACGAAAACTATATGAAATCTGATGAAAACTTGCCATTTTCATGTAGAACAATCGGAGTATTGTTATGGTACATGTATTCATAGTTGATACTTTTAGAAGTGAATAACGTTGGACTTATTGTCAGTTTAAAGGTACGGTCCATCATTTATAAACCTGGTATTTATGGTCATCATAAGCCTGACCATCGGGCTGTAGGTCATGGAAAAAGGGAATAACATGCATGGGGATATATCCTTCTGTTTCGTTGTGTAAACTTGTTTTGGTCGATTTTGTCGAACTACCGTGGCGATTGTCAGATAAATTCAGATTATAAATTAATTCACAAGATTTTATTAATGCATAAAACACCGGTTTAATGTTTAAACATGTATTCAAACATTCCCTAGGTATTGAGGCAAACTAAGTAAAACGTATAAGGGGATACCAGCATTCTTGTTCGGAGAATACGTTGTATTATATCTGTAACTCTTCAGGACTCGTATCCTAAAACAACACTTATTGGCAACCGAGGGAAGTCGGGTTGGCGCCGGTTACTTTCCTCGCCTTCCACCGCTATGGCCCAGGTTTTGATTCCTGTCCGGGCCACATGTGGATTAGGTTTTCAGTCCCTACCTGATCCCGTTGGATTTACTCAGAATATTCTTCTAGGGTGTTCCTCCAACCTCTAAAACTGCAATTTCTTCTCATTGTCTTCTCTCTACAGGTTTCTTCAGGCCTGCGAGCTACAGTGCCTAGGGCACTTTGGAGGAATCTTTGATTTCATAACCAGAAAGAAATTAGCTAAAATATAAAAAAAAAAAGGGTTAATATAGGTTTACAGCCCGTAATGAATGTATGTTGTTTCTTATTGTCTATAATTTGTTTTAATTAGGGAACAACAGTGTGAGGACCCAGTCTTCACTGCATGATAATGACCGGGTCGGGGATAGCCGCTGTTAATGGACCAAGCCGAATATGTCCGTGGAGTGGTGTTTACAGAAAATACAAAGCGCAGATCCAAGCTTTCGTCGTACGCGTAAATATCCTCAGTACAAACGTAAGTGCTCTCATCGAATTATTTTGTACCCCTGTTTTCCTGCAATGGTCATTTTACAAAACTAGACCCAATTTCGACTTGATAAAACACCGACTGGTTTTGAAAAAATTTTCTCCGGTGCCATATGTTCGCTCCAATGAATTCTGGCCCCTTGTATCCTTTTATTGGTTGAACCCTCACACGTGACCAATCACTCTCCAAATTATCTTCACTTGGGCATTCGCTGTCATTTCATAGAGTTCTAATTCTACACTACAGTATTAATATTATTATTATTTATTCAGCCAACGAAAAAGAATACAAATATTTAATAGACATAGACTACAATACATACATCGATACCCAAGAGAAAACAAAGGGAGTAAAAAAGCTAATCACCAAGATGGGCATGGGGCAACAAAAGCAAGTACGCGCCACGCGAGCACCAATCCCCATATATGGAGATGTTTAGTATTACTCGTGCGATCCAAGGCACGTACCATAAACATAAACTATCAATCATAAAAGAAGTCAAAATTATAAATTTTGACTTGTTTAGACTTTTTGATCTAAAGGTGTTTATAAATGGAAATATATATGTGCTGGGCTGGTATAAAACGAGTACGCTTATAATCAGCAGGGGCCCGGTCGCAGGTAATTGCCTTCGCCTTTTGTTAGGGTCATTATCCGCGTCCAAGCCCCAAGGCGGTTTATACGTACTTGTTTAAAACCGGCCAAGATTTATTTATTCCCTTTGTAAAGCTTACTTTTTAATATTTGTTGAACATCTTAAACGCTAACTAGAATACTTTATGATTAAAACTGTGTAATCATTGTGCTTAATTAGGATTCGGTTGAATCGGCATCCTTTCGAAGCTTGTACTTGAGTCCTTCTTAAAGAGTGAAGGCATTAGAATCTTAAGCCCACGTTGCTTGGAAGATTCGGTAGTGGAAGAGATGCGAATGGCATCCACAAGAAGACACAATACTATCGCTGCCATGGTAGCACTATACAGGAAGAATGTTGCGTGGAAACTCCCAGTCGCATCAGAAAGCCAACCTGACAAGGAATCAGACAAAACCGAACATTTCAATTCTTAAAGAAACCACATCCAAACATTCTATCATTCTTGTATCAATTCGAGGGTCCTCGTACTTGTGGTAACTGCTAAGATATGAATGCACTCAAATTTGACTTCAGAGATGATCTTACAGATGACATCGCATGAAACAGCTGGGTCTTTAATTTCAGTCAAGACGTCATATAATTCGTCTGGCTTTGCCTACCGAGTATAAGTTGTCTTTGTCTCTTGGAACCATTGAACCGTGGATTTCAACGCCGTGACGAGTTGCTGAACATTATCAAAGTCTCATGAAAGTGCATTGAAATGACTTACCTGATAAAGTATCTCCAATAGCAGCTGCTACTCCACTCAGAAATGTTTGCCATCCCAACACGCTGACAAATTTGTCGTCACCAAAAGGTAGACACCTCGTCATGACAAATATCCCCTCGATTGCGCAACCCAATCCAGCCCCCACGACGAAGGCATTGAGAATCTGACCCACGAATGGAGAGACGAAGGGTTCCAGGGCGAATCCTACTGCAATTACGCTCACAGCTATTCCTTCGGCGCCACGGACCGAAACCAACTTAACATGCATAGCCGAAGCCGACAGAACGAGTCCAGCCAGGTTCCCAACGCCCCAAGCTGTAGTCAGGAATGATGCCTCTTTGGCACTCAGACCAAGCGCCAGACCATTAGGGACTATGTAGACAACCACACCACCGTATCCAATACTGTACAACATTCTTATTGTTGCTACAATCATGAATTCAGCACTCACGAAGACCTCGAGACACAGTACAGAGACAACTGAAGTCCAGAGGTTGGATATCTTGGACTTATTCGGTTTGACCTCCTCCGAGGATTTACCAGGAGAGTTGATACTATCAATTGTAAGTTGCTCCTCGTGATCGGGCACCGCTTGGTATGAGATCGGCGGCCTTCGTATCAACATCCCTGCTACAACAAGATGAAAACTAACACCACCGAGGAGAAGCATTGCTCCTCGCCATCCATACGTATCCACGAGAACTTGGGTTATTGGACCGAGCAGCATCATACCGACAGGAGACCCGGTCAATGTGACGAAAGTTGCTAAAGGATACTTCTCCCGGAAATAATAAGCAACTTCGGCATGGGTGATCTCCATCACAGACGCTACCCCTGTTCCTGTTGCGTAGAAGAACGAAAATAGAAATACGTTTTAAAATACCTGAAGTTCCATATGAAGGGTAATTATAGGGCCTCAATACCCTCTAAAAGCTGCTGGATGGAATCCGAAGCTTTAAAATCCCTCCCCGAAAAAAATTGGCCTGAGATAGATATTTCTGTTGAAACTGAGATGCCTACTGCAACGAACCTACTCTTCATCGTTTCTGCTGTCGGACGTCTTATTCTTACGTGATAGTTCTATTGACATTCGTTTTTAGAACTGTTTTGAATATATTCGCACCACTCTTACCAGCGATAACAACAAGGGCGAGAGCCAAGATGGCAATACTGTGCGTTAAAGCAGACACCACCAGACCAACTCCGTACAGTGCACCGCCAACAAGAACCAAGGAGCGAACACCAAATGTGGGTGCCAGAGCAGCTGCAAGGGGACCTGAGTGTACAAGAGAACAAAAAGGGAACCTTATATTAATTGCCTATTTGCCTCAGAAAGTGAAGGGACGCCATGGCTGCACGAAGGCCTAGGTCTTGGCCGATCATTACTAACACAAGCCCCATTTTAAAGAATAAGTTAAGACAGGATTAAGGTGCCAACCTGTTCGACAACGTGTTAACAATGGTATCAAGTCACACGGTTAACAGCATTTGTTGAATATAGTCAGTATTCAATAAATATTACGCGCATTTCTCTAATCTTCAACACTTCTGACAAATCTTCTACATACTGGCATCGGCCTACTAACCGTACCACAGAAGTTTGTAAAAAGTAAATATGCGAATGATATCAAAGTGGGTCATCATTATTATTCTTAGTGGCGTCAATCTGTGCCGGCAAGTAGAGGGATGCGGGATTATCAAAATCCAAATTGCCCGGCCGTGGAAATTCGTAAACCGGGGGAGGGGGGGGGGTCACGGACACCACGTTACACTAGGGGGCGCTCTTCAGGATATAGATGAATATCAAAATATGTATACTCGCGCTTACATCAAAACGCTGCATTTTAAAACCCTTTGTTCATTGTTTCTCCACTTTTTCAGTTCCACTGAATACATTTTGGTTGTTGGGATGTTCGACAAATACAGTGCCCCAAATTCGCGCTGCCCAATATTCGCACAACGAACTTTCTCAGCTCGTATCTTTTTGCACGCACCACGGACCGACGTCAAATCACCGTCGATGACCGATCGTTACATCGCCTTTCTTCTCGATGCAGTTATGTGGAAATCAAAAGCTTTTCCGAGAAGTAATTTAAAAGAAATCAAGGAGGGAGTAAAATTTTGCCGTACTGACTAGATTCAAAACCTAACATTATTGAATGGCCCAAAACTAATAAAGACATCGCTACGAGTTTCCGATCAGTATCGCCGTCCGCCCCAAAACGTGAAAGACAACTACGGTCGACTTTCAATAAACAACAGAGGGCGTAATCAGAATTAAGGAGCACGAAAAACGACTTGCGCCTTACATCGCGTTATTATTTTACGATCTCTTTCGCCGAAATGCAGATTTCAGTACCGAGTTGTTTGTTGGAATGAATATGCTTTTGAAATATATTTCTGTCGTAATAAGACCTAATCGTAATATTCAAAGTACCCAAAAATTGCATGTAATATGCATTAGGCCGATAACCATTTTTAGTTAATTGAAATGAGGTGTATGTGATCATGTGTCGCGGCAGTACGATCGTCCACGGTAAGATCAAAACCGCGTATAATTAATTGATTGATATCGCAGGTGTATTAGAATCAGCAACAAATGCCAGAAAACATTGTTACAGAAAGGTGATTTTGTTATTTTTTGCTGGAGGGGTCATTTCAAATGCATTTTTTCCCGTGTACTTTTAAAAATACAGCCACGTCACACTAAAGTTATATTGCATTTATTTCTGTTTTTTGAGAATCTGTATAAATTTGTAAAATGTTATGTAATCGGCACTTGGTTGATTTTCAGCCAAAAAAAATCTTCGAACTCTTTCCATGCATTGGAATGACTTCTTAGATTTTCGACAAAAATACATTAAAAGATATGAAAACTTGTTTGTACAACATAATACAAAATGCGTTGTCGATCAATTTCAGCTTTGAATGGGCGCGTTCGCCTCGGGTGCTATATGCGCCTCTCGGATGTTATATCATAATTCACATCCCACATCAAAGTAGTCAACATTGTTAAATATAGAATGAACAAAAATTACACCTCTCAATTGATGCCATGCCATTACGTTGTGTCTGACCCCAATTAAAATGCTCTTTATCTTTAAAACAAAAATTACTTTCAACAGAATGAAATTACAAAAAGTTGGCTTACACATGATAGACTGTACTGCATAATGTAGCGAGACTATGGAGCCGACGACCCACAACTCCCTACCGAAATCCTCCTTCATATAAGTGATCAGAACACCTAGAGCTTTTAGGTTGCCGCAAATGATGAACTCATTCATGAAGCCGGCCAGAACGACCACCCAGCCCCAACCACCTTCCCGGTAACTCGGACTAACCGTCGCCATTATTTCCCACTTAGTGATGATACAGGAAGCAAAATCTCAAGGAAGGAAACTGCCACTGGTGCTGCATAGACCTCGTGCGTAGCGGCCATCTTAGAGGACATATTTTGTTCATGTTAATTCAGTAACAATGAATGAACAAAAGTTTCGCTTATGCGTATCAGAGCAAAACAAAGGCATTGCCCTCTAAGATGGCTGCCACATACAAGGTCTATTGGGAAGAATCTTCACCGATCCCTCAGTAGCCCGCCGCACCTCATCTGGCTGTCTGCGCAACAGTTTGTCCAAAATTACTTCTGGCTGTGTCAGAGCGTGTTATTTAAAAGCACCTTTCCATAATCGTATTTTAGTCCGTTTTGTGCGGCAGTATTTTATAGCACATTATAAAACATAGGCCTGCAGACCTTACCACTCAATGGACGCAAGACGGAATAAAATACATTTATGTAAAGCCGGCTTTACCCAGTTTAGTGCGAGTTATTTCTGAGTGACAATTATTTCCAAGCGCACGAACGTCAAGTGTACCCTCAGGCTATGGTAGGTTTATGCGCCAGACGCGACTTCAGTTATGTTAATTTTCTGTGCTCGAAAGTGATCCCTGCTAGACACGCTCGAACGCACCCATTCTGAGTCCGGAATAGCTGTTATATTTGTTGAAAGCTACCCATTGTCATGTTCATAGCAAGCAGGATATTGAAATGAATAACCTTATGAAAACAAACGGCTAGAGTTATCACTGGCCTTACCATCGCACGAACGTCAAGTGTACCCTTTAGTAGGTTTATGCGCCAGACACGACTTCAGTTATGTTAATTTCCTATGCTCGAAAGTGACCCCAGCTAGACACGCTCAAACGCACCCATTCTGAGTCCGGAATAGTTGTTATATTAATTGAAAGCTACCCATTGTCATGTCCATATGGTATTGAAATGAATAACCTTTACAAAGCTAGAGTTTTCACTGGCCTCACCATCGGGCTGCTGTAGATCATGGAAAAAGGGAGTAAAACGCCCCGGGGTATATCCTTCTATTTCGTTTTGTAACTTACATGGGCGTTGTGAGGGGGGGGGGGGAGGGGGGCTTACCCCTTCCTCCTGGAAAAGCCACCCAAAAAAGGGGGAAAGAGGTGCGAAGTCAATGGGTTGGTGAATGTCCCTGCCCCCTCGAAAAATGATAAATCGAGAATATGCAGGAAAAATACAGGGATTTCGGGAGGAAAACGGCTACATCCGCCACTGGTGATTGTCCAAATAATATCGGATATAAATTAATTCATATATGCATGAAAACACCAACACACGTGTGTTAGCATGTGCACATGTGTTTCAATTGTTCTCCAGATATTGAGCCAAACTTACTATAAGAGGTATATTACCAGCATCATTGTTCGGGATCGGGAGTATACATTGTATTATCTTTGTATTTCACTCCAGGACTCTTAATTTCCTAGTTGAATAGGGTTCATATGGCTATACAGTCCGTAATGAACATGTTGTTTCATACTGTCTCATTTCATTTGGTAACTTCACCTTACCCAGGTCATTGTTTTTAGTGACTATCCATCTGAATTAATTACGGACTGGTACAAAAGTAAGAGCTCTTTTCGTCGAGGGAGTAAACAAAGGTCTAATATTTACCCCATTTTTCCTGCCTGGTCATTTTACAAAAGTAGACGACTTTCTGATTAATATCAAGCCTGTCCCGGTTTAACATGACTTACCGCTTACTGAATCAATTCAAGGTCAAAGAAATATTTGAGATCCGTGTAAGAAAAAAATACCCTAAAATGGGACAAAAATTGTAAAATAACAAGTTTTAATAGGTGGTAGCTTGGTCTGTTTAATAGTAGATTACATATTAGTGTTGGTGTTACAACTTAAAATTAGTGCATGCATACATAAAAATTAATGTGAATTATCCCAGTGTAACCCCGAAAGCTTAATTCTGTAATGCTAACTGGACTACAATTTAACTGTTCTGATGAAAACTGTGTAATCATTGTGCTTCATTAGTATTCGGTTGAATCAGCATCCTTCCGAAGCTTGTACTTGAGTCTCTCTTAAAGAGTGAAGGCATTAGAACCGCAGGCCCACGTTGCTTGGAAGATTCGGTAGTGGAAGAGATGCGAATGGCATCCACAAGAAGACACAATAATATCGCTGCCATGGTAGCACTATATAGGAAGAATGTTGCGTGGAAACTCCCAGTCGCATCAGAAAGCCAACCTGACAAGGAATCAGACAAAACCAAAAAATGTCATTTCTTAAAGAAACCACATCCAATCATTCTATCATTCTTGTATCAACTTCGAGGGTCCTCGTACTTGTGGTAACTGCTAAGATATGAATGCACTCTAATTTGACTTCAGAGATGATTTTAAAGATGACATCGCATGAAACAGCTAGGTCTTTAATTACAGTCAAGACGTCATGTAATTCGTCTGGCTTTGGGTATACCGAGTATAAGTTGTCTATGTATAGAATATACGTCTCTTGGAACCATTGAACCGTGGATTTCAACGCCGTGACGAGTTGCTGAACATTATCAAAGTCTCCCGAAAGTGCATTGAAATGACTTACCTGATACAGTATCTCCAATGGCAGCTGCTACTCCACTCAGAAACGTTTGCCAGCCCAACACACTGACAAATTTGTCGTCACCAAAAGGTAGACACCTCGTCATGACAAATATCCCCTCAATGGCGCAACCCATTCCGGATCCCACGACAAAGGTAGTGAGAATCTGACCCACGAATGGAAACACGAAGGGTTCCAGGGCGAGTCCTACTGCAGTTACGCTCACAGCTATTCCTTCAGCGCTACGGACCGATATCCACTTCACATGCAAAGCCAGAGCACACAGAACCAGTCCAACCAGGTTCCCAACCCCCCAAGCTGTAGTCAGGAATGATGCCTCCCTGGTGCTTAGACCAAGCGCCAGACCATTAGGTACTATGTAGACAACCACACCACCGTAGCCAATATTGTACAACATTCTCATAGTTGCTACAATAATGAATTCAGCACTCACGAAAACCTCGAGACACAGTACAGAGAAAACTGAATTCCAGAGGTTGGATATCTTGGACTTATTCGGTTTGACTTCCTCCTTGGATTTACCAGGAGAGTTGATACTATCAATTGTGAGTTGCTCCTCGTGATCGGGTACCGCTTGGTATGAAATCGGCGGCCTTCGTATCAACATTCCTCCTACAACAAGATGGAAACCAACGCCACCGAGGAGAAGCATTGCTCCTCGCCATCCGTACGTATCTACGAGAACTTGGGTTATTGGACCGTATAGCATAATACCGACTGGAGATCCGGTAAGCGCGATGAAAATTGCTAAAGGATACTTCTCCCGGAAGTAAAAAGCAAGTTCGGCATGGGTGATCTCCATCACAAACGTGACCCCTATTCCTGTTAAGTAGAAGAAAGAAAATACAATAATAAATTGTAAGATACCATATATGGCCTCACTACCTTATAAAAAGGGGGCTGGATGGAATTCGAAGCTTCGAAATCCCTCCCCTGAAAACAATCTTGCCCAGAGTGGATTAGTCTGCATTTTGACACTACACTACTGTCGAAATGCCTACTGGGACGAACGCACTCTCATCTTTTCTGTCTTTTTGAACTGCTTACTAATACGTGATTGTTCTTTTGATTTTCTTTGTTTTTAAATGTTTTAAATATTTTTTACCACTCTTACCAGCGATAACAACAAGGGCAAGAGCCAAGATGGCGACACTGTGCGTTAAAGCAGACACCACCAGACCAACTCCGTAGAATGTACCGCCAACAAGAATCAAGATGCGACCGCTAAAGTGGCGTGCCAGAGCAGCGGCAAGGGGTGCTGAATGCAAAACAGAGAAACAAAAGGGGAATAGACTGCAGAATATTAATGAATGAGATTACATGTACTTTGTTTTATCTATTCTTTGACAATACGATAAAAAGTATATTGTTATACTTTTGTCTTGAATACTGTATTTTCATTGGCCTAGAACGATCACGTGTTAAGTTCATAAAAAAAGTCTAGCACACTACCTGTGGGATATCACGTACGTGATATCCCATAGGGAGTGTGCTAAGTGGACGTACAGTGTGAAACGCTTCTATCGTTGGTACCCACGCTATTTTCACCACGTTTTCACACATGAGTGAGAGCAGTGAACAAGCAGACGATCAGCTGTTTCGAGCACGAGACATGCATGTGAGTTGGCGTTCGATTGTCATGTTTGTTGCGTTTACTGCTGTTTTTTTTTTGGTGGTGTTTTTTTTTCACATCAAAATCCAAAGAATCAAAGACAGAGGAATTGTTGACTGCTGTGATGTGGGATATGACGTTTTGAACACCCTCGGGGCGCATAGCACCCTCGCGCTCCTCGATCGGGAGTTCAAAACGACATATCCCAAATCGCAGCAGTCAACAATATTATTGTTAAATATCTACCAACGATATCACTGCAGACAAAGCAAACAAATTAAACAAACGTTCAATCCTTGTAAATGTATATGAGTTTCTCTAATCTTCAACCACTAACCTGGTGGCATATTAATAGCCATTATGACAGAATTATGTAGACTACTCAAATGTGTGTTTCATATCTGACAGTATTTTTTTTTGGTATTCTCAATCTGATCCCGTGCCTTACACTGCATTTCGCCGTGGATATTATTGAAACGTGCACCAAAGTCTTAACAAAACTAAGAAGGAAATAATTGAAAATTGCCTTACATAGGATAAACTGTACTGCATAGTGTAGCGAGGCTATGGAGCCGACGACCCACAATTTCGTACCGAAATCCTCCTTCATAGAAGTGATCAGAACTCCAAGAGCTTTCAGGATGCCGAAAAAGACGAACTGTAGCATGAAGAAGGCCAGAACGACCGCCCAGCCCCAGCCTCCTTCTCGGTAACTCGGACTAACCGTCGTCATTATTTCCCACTCAAAGATGATACAGGAAGCTCACTCTAAACTGACTCCTCAAGGATGGAAACGGTCACTGGTGATGGTTTGGCAAGAACCTTCACCGATCTATGGCCTGCCTCGTGTCGCTGTTCTCGTGTAGCCGTGCGGAACAGTTTGTCCAAAATTATTCTGCTCTTGTCCGAGCGTATTATAACTGCGTTTCCATGATCTCATTTAAGCCCGTTTTGTGGAAGTATTTTGTTTAGCCCTAAACACACAGACCTTACAACACACTGCCGGACGCAAAACGGACTAAAATGCGATAACGGAAACGCGGCTTAATACTCGGGTTAACACGGGTGATTCCTGAGCGACAATTCTTCCCGAGCGCCTGGACGTCAAGAGTAAATCCTCGGGGAACCTTGGGCATGCTTGCTTATGTGCCAGACACGACGTCGGTTATTCTGCACTTATATTCCGCAGGATATTCGTGATGGCGAATACGTTTCAGTGACAGTTATGCCTATACACGCCTACACACGATCGAAAGGACAAGAGTGACACGCTCCAACGAAAACTATATGAAATCTGTTGAAAACTCGCCATTTTCATGTAGAACAATCGGAGAATTGTTATGGTACATGTATTCATAGTTGATACTTTTAGAAGTGAATAACGTTGGACTTATTGTCAGTTTAAAAGTACGGTCTATCATTGATAAACCTGGTATTGATGGTCATCATAAGCCTGACCATCGGGCTGTAGGTCATGGAGAAAGGGTATTACATGCATGGGGATATATCCTTCTGTTTCGTTGTGTAAACTTGTTTTTGTCGATTTTGTAGAACTACCGTGGCGATTGTCAGATAAATTCAGATTATAAATTAATTCACAAGATTGCATTAATGCATAAAACACCGATTTAATGTTTAAACATGTATTCAAACATTCCCTACGTATTGAGGCAAACTAAGTAAAACGTATAAGGGGATACCAGCATTCTTGTCGGGGAATAGGTTGTATTATCTCTGTAACTCTTCAGGACTCGTATCCTTAAACACCACTTATTGGCAATCGAGGAGAGTCGGGTTGGCGCCGGTTACTCTCCTCGCCTTCCACCGCTATGGCCCAGGTTTTGATTCCTGTCCGGGCCACGTGGATTAGGTTTTCAGTCCCTACCTGATCCCATTGGATTTACTCAGAATATTCTTCTAGGGTTTTCCTCCCACCTCTAAAACTGTAATTTCTTCTAATTGTCTCCTCTCTACAGGTTTCTTCAGGTTTCTTCAGGCCTGCGAGCTATAAAAGGCACTTTTTAGGAAACCTTGTTTTTATAACCAGAAGAAATTAGCTAAAATATAAAAAATAGGGTTACATGTAATAGGTTTACAGCCCGTAATGAAAGTATGTTGTTTCTTATTGTCTATTTTTGTTTTGATTAGGGAATAACAGTGCGAGGACCCAGTCTTCACTGCGTCACGGAGATAATGGCCGGGTTGAGGGATGGTCGCTGTTAATGGACCAAGCCGGATATGACCGTGGTGTGAGAGACGTGTTTACAGAAATTAAATCGCAGATTCAAGCTTTCGTCGTACGCGTAAATATCCTCAGTTCAATCGTAAGTGCTCTCATCGAATTATTTTGTACCCCTGTTTTTCTGGTTTTAAACACTTTTTCTCCGGTGCCATGACATTGTGTTTGCTCCAATGAAATCTGGCCCCTTGTATCCTTTAATTGGTTAAACCCTCACACGTGACCAATCACTCTCCTAATTATCTTCACTTGGGCATTCGGCTGTAATTTCAGAGAGTTCTAATTCCACACTACATTAGTATTATTATTATTTTTTATTATTATTATTATTCCTACAAATGTACTATTAGGGAGACACGTTAACGTAGAAATTTCGATAGTAGGGAGACACGGGCTTAATAGGGAGACACCTAGGTGTCTCCCTATTAGCGCAGCCCCCCCCCCCCCCTGTAAAAGAAAAATTTTGCTGTCAAAATTAGGTTGTATTTGTTGCTCGTGGTCTAATTAGTAAAAATACCGAAATTCGTGGAAAAAGGTCAAGGAAATATTAGGTTAGGGCACATTTAAATCGGAAAATTTTCGTTTATTTTATTTATTCATGCAGCCAACGAAAAAGAATACAAATATTTAATAGACATAGACTACAATACATCCATCGATACCCAAGAGAAAACAAAGGGAGTAAAAAAGCTAATCACCAAGATGGGCATGGGGAAACAAAAGCAAGTACGCGCCACGCGAGCGCCAATCCCCATATAGGGAGATGTTTAGTACTACTCGCGCGATCCGAGGCACGTACCATAAACATAAACCATCAATCATAAACGAAGTCAAATTGATAAATTTTGACTTGTTTTGGTGTTTATTAATGGAAATATATATGTGCTGGGCTGGTATTACACGAGTACGCTTATAATCGGCAGGGGCCCGGTCGCAGGTAATTGCCTTCGCCTTTTGTTAGGGTCATTATCCGCGTCCAAGCCCCAAGGCGGTTTATACGTACTTGTTTAAAACCGGCCAAGTATTTATTTATTCCCTTTGTAAAGCTTACTGTTAATATTTGTTGAACATCTTAAACGCTAACTAGAATACTTTATGATTAAAACTGTGTAATCATTGTGCTTAATTAGTATTCGGTTGAATCGGCACCCTTTCGAAGCTTGTACTGGAGTCCTTCTTAAAGAGTGAAGGCATTAGTACCGCAGGCCCACGTTGCTTGGAAGATCCGGTAGTGGAAGAGATGCGAATGGCATCCACAAGAAGACACAATACTATCGCTGCCATGGTAGCACTATATAGGAAGAATGTTGCGTGGAAACTCCCAGTCGCATCAGAAAGCCAACCTGACAAGGAATCAGACAAAACCAAAAATTTCAGTTCTTAAAGAAACCACACCCAATCATTCTATCATTCTTGTATTAATTCGAGGGTCCTCGTACTTGTGGTAACTGCTAAGATATGAATGCACTCTAATTTGACTTCAGAGATGATTTTAAAGATGACATCGCATGAAACAGCTAGGTCTTTAATTACAGTCTAGACGTCATACAATTCGTCTGGCTTTGGGTATACCGAGTATAACTATAAGTTGTCTATGTACAAAATATACGTCCCTTGGAACCATTGAACCGTGGATTTCAACGCCGTGACGAGTTGTTGAACATTATCAAAGTCTCCCGAAAGTGCATTGAAATGACTTACCTGATAAAGTATCTCCAATAGCAGCTGCTACTCCACTCAAAAATGTTTGCCATCCCAACACACTGACAAATTTGTCGTCACCAAAAGGTAGACACCTCGTCATGACAAATATCCCCTCGATTGCGCAACCCAATCCAGCCCCCACGACGAAGGCAGTGAGAATCTGACCCACGAATGGAGAGACGAAGGGTTCCAGGGCGAATCCTACTGCAATTACGCTCACAGCTATCCCTTCAGCTCTACGGACCGAAACCAACTTAACATGCATAGCCGAAGCCAACAGAATGAGTCCAGCCAGGTTCCCAACCCCCCAAGCTGTAGTCAGGAATGATGCCTCTTTGGCACTCAGACCAAGCGCCAGACCATTAGGTACTATGTAAACAACCACACCACCGTATCCAATACTGTACAACATTCTTATGGTTGCTACAATCATGAATTCAGCACTCACGAAGACCTCGAGACCCAGTGCAGAGAAAACTGAATTCCAGAGGTTGGATATCTTGGACTTATTCAGTTTGACTTCCTGCTTGAATTTGCCAGGAGAGTCGATACCATCAATTGTAAGTTGCTCCTCGTGATCGGGCACCGCTTGGTATGAGTTCGGCGGCCTTCGTATCAACATTCCTGCTACAACAAGATGAAAACTAACGCCACCGAGAAGAAGCATTGCTCCTCGCCATCCATACGTATCCACGAGAACCTGGGTTATTGGACCGAGCAGCATCATACCGACAGGGGTCCCGGTAAATGTGAGGAAAGCTGCTAAAGGATACTTCTCCCGGAAGTAATAAGCAAGTTCGGCATGGGTGATCTCCAACACAGACGCTACCCCTGTTCCTGTTGCGTAGAAGAACGAAAATAGAAATATGTTTTAAGATACCTGAACTTCCATATGAAGGGTAATTATAGGGCCTCAATACCCTCTAAAAGCTGCTGGATGGAATCCGAAGCTTTGATATCCCTCCCCGAAAAAAATTGGCCTGAGATAGATATTTCTGTTGAAACTGAGATGCCTACTGCAACGAACCTACTCTTCATCGTTTCTGCTGTCGGACTTCTTATTCTTACGTGATAGTTCTATTGACATTCGTTTTTAGAACTGTTTTGAGTATATTCGCACCACTCTTACCAGCGATAACAACAAGGGCGAGAGCCAAGATGGCAATACTGTGCGTTAAAGCAGACACCACCAGACCAACTCCGTAGAGTGCACTGCCAACAAGAACCAAGGAGCGAACACCAAATTTGGGTGCCAGAGCAGCTGCAAGGGGACCTGAGTGTACAGGAGAACAAAAAGGGAACCTTATATTAATTGCCTATTTGCCTCAGAAAGTGAAGGGACGCCATGGCTGCACGAAGGCCTAGGTCTTGGCCGATCATTACTAACACTAGCCCCATTTTAAAGAGTAAGTTAAGACAGGATTAAGGTGCCAACCTGTTCGACAACGTGGTAACAATGGTATCAAGTCACACGGTTAACGGCATTTGTTTAATGAAGTCAGTATTCAATAAATATTACGCGCATTTCTCTAATCTTCAACACTTCTGACAAATCTTCTGACATACTGGCATCGGCCTACTAACCGTACCACAGAAGTTTGTAAAGAGTGAATATGCGAACGATATCAATTATCAAACTGGGGCATCATTATTATCCTTAGTGGCGTCAATCTGTGCCGGCGATTTTGGGGATGCGGGATTATCAAAATCCAAATTGCCCGGCCGTGGAAATTCGAAAAGCGGGAGAGGGTTGGGGGAGGAGGGTGTCACGGACACCACGTTACACTAGGGGCGCTCTTCAGGATATAGATGAATATCAAAATATGTATACTCGCGCTTACACCAAAACGGCGTATTTTAAAACCCTTTGTTCATTGTTTCTCCACTTTTTCAGTTCCACTGAATACATTTTGGTTGTTGGGATGTTCGACAAAATACAGTGCCCCAAATTCGCGCTGCCCAGTATTCGCAATTCGCATATCTGCCCAAAATCTTTCTCGGCTCGTATCTTTTTGCACGCACCGCAAACCGACGTCAAATCACCGTCAATTGACCGATCGTTACATCGCCTTTCTTCTCGATGCAGTTATGTGGAAATCAAAAGCTTTTCGGAGATGTAATTAAAAGAAATCAAAGAGAGAGTGAAATTTTGCCGTACTGACTAGATTCAAAACCTAACATTATTGAATGGCCCAGAACTAATAAAGACATCGCTACGAGTTTCCGATCAGTGTCGCCGTCCGCCCCAAAACGTGAAAGACAACTACGGTCGACTTTCAATAAACAACAGAGGGCGTAATCAGAATTAAGGAGCACGAAAAACGACGTGCGCCTTATATCGCGTTATTATTTTACGATCTCTTTCGCCGAAATGCAGATTTCAGTACCGAGTTGTTTGTTGGAATGAATATGCTTTAAAATATATTTCTTTCGTAATAAGAACTAATCGTAATATTTAAGGTACCCAACAATTTCATGCAATATGCATTAGGCCGATAACTATTTTTAGTTAATTGAAATGAGGTGTATGTGATCATGTGTCGCGGCAGTACGATCGTCCACGGTTTGATCAAAACCGCGTATAATTAATTGATTGATATCGCAGGTGTATTAGAATCAGCAACAAATGCCAGAAAACATTGTTACAGAAAGGTGATTTTGTTATTTTTTGCTGGAGGGGTCATTTCAAATGCATTTTATTCCGTGTACTTTAAAAAAATACAGCCACGTCACACTAAAGTTATATTGCATTTACTTCTGTTTTTTGAGAATCTGTATAAATTTGTAAAAATGTTATGTAATCAGCTTGGTTGATTTTCAGCAAAAAATAATCTTCGAACTCTTTCCAGGCATTGGTTAACTTCGTAGATTTTCGACAAAAATACATTAAAAGATATGAAAACTTGTTTGTACAACGTAATACAAAATGCGTTGTCAATCAATTTCAGCTTTGAATGGGCGCGTTCGCCTCGGGTGCTATATGCGCCCCTCGGATGTTATATCATATCCCACATCAAAGTAGTCAACAATTGTTAAATATAAAATGAAGAAGAATTACACCTCTCAATTGATGCCATGCCATTACGTTTTGTCTGACCCCAATTAAAATGCTCTTTAAACAACATTACTTTCAACAGAATGAAATTACAAAAAGTTGACTTACACATGATAGACTGTACTGCATAATGTAGCGAGACTATGGAGCCGACGACCCACAACTCCGTACCGAAATCCTCCTTCATATAAGTGATCAGAACACCTAGAGCTTTTAGGTTGCCGCAAATGATGAACTCAGTCATGAAGCAGGCCAGAACGACCGCCCAGCCCCAGCCGCCTTCTCGGTAACTCGGACTAACCGTCGCCATTATTTCCCACTTAGTGATGATACAGGAAGCAAAATCTCAAGGAAGGAAACAACCGCTGGTGCTGCATAGACCTCGTGCGTAGCGGCCATCTTAGAGGACATATTTTGTTCATGTTAATTCAGTAAAATGAATGAACAAAAGTTTCACTTATGCGTATCAGAGCAAAACAAAGGCATTGCCCTCTTAGATGGCTGCCACGTACAAAGTCTATTGGGAAGAATCTTCACCGATCCCTCAGTATATCCGTCTCGTCTGGCTGTCTGCGCAACAGTTTGTCCAAAATTACTTCTGGCTGTGTCGGAGCGTGTTATTTAAAAGCACCTTTCCATAATCGTATTTTAGTCCGTTTTGTGCGGTAGTATTTTATAGCACATTATAAAACTTGGCCTGCAGACCTTACCACTCAATGGACGCAAGACGGAATAAAATACATTTATGGAAAGCCGGCTTTACCCAGTTTAATGCGAGTTATTTCTGAGTGACAATAATTTATTGCCAAGCGCACGAACGTCAAGTGTACCCTCAGGCTCTGGTAGGTTTATGCGCCAGACGCGACTTCAGTTATGTTAATTTTCTGTGCTCGAAAGTGACCCCTGCTAGACACGCTCGAACGCACCCATTCTGAGTCCGGAATAGCTGTTATATTTGTTGAAAGCTACCCATTGTCATGTTCATAGCAAGCAGGATATTGAAATGAATAACCTTATGAAAACAAACGGCTAGAGTTATCACTGGCCTTACCATCGCACGAACGTCAAGTGCACCCTTTAGTAGGTTTATGCGCCAGACACGACTTCAGTTATGTTAATTTCCTATGCTCGAAAGTGACTCCTGCTAGACACGCTCAAACGCACCCATTCTGAGTCCGGAATAGTTGTTATATTAATTGAAAGCTACCCATTGTCATGTCCATATGGTATTGAAATGAATAACCTTTACAAAGCTAGAGTTTTCACTGGCCTCACCATCGGGCTGCTGTAGATCATGGAAAAAGGGAGTAAAACGCCCCGGGGTATATCCTTCTATTTCGTTTTGTAACTTACATGGGCGTTGTGAGGGGGGGGGGAGGGGGGCTTACCCCTTCCTCCTGGAAAAGCCACCCAAAAAGGGGGAAAGAGGTGCGAAGTCAATGGGTTGGTGAATGTCCCTGCCCCCTCGAAAAATGATAAATCGAGAATATGCAGGAAAAATACAGGGATTTCGGGAGGAAAACGGCTACATCCGCCACTGGTGATTGTCCAAATAATATCGGATATAAATTAATTCATATATGCATGAAAACACCAACACATGTGTGTTAGCATGTGCACATGTGTTTCAATTGTTCTCCAGATATTGAGCCAAACTTACTATAAGAGGTATATTACCAGCATCATTGTTCGGGATCGGGAGTATACATTGTATTATCTTTGTATTTCACTCCAGGACTCTTAATTTCCTAGTTGAATAGGGTTCATATGGCTATACAGTCCGTAATGAACATGTTGTTTCATACTGTCTCATTTCATTTGGTAACTTCACCTTACCCAGGTCATTGTTTTTAGTGACTATCCATCTGAATTAATTACGGACTGGTACAAAAGTAAGAGCTCTTTTCGTCGAGGGAGTAAACAAAGGTCTAATATTTACCCCATTTTTCCTGCCTGGTCATTTTACAAAAGTAGACGACCTTCTGATTAATATCAAGCCTGTCCCGGTTTAACATGACTTACCGCTTACTGAATCAATTCAAGGTCAAAGAAATATTTGAGATCCGTGTAAGAAAAAAATACCCTAAAATGGAAAAAAAAATGTAAAATAACAAGTTTTAATAGGTGGTAGTTTGGTCTGTTTAATAGTAGATTACATATTAGTGTTGGTGTTACAACTTAAAATCAGTGCATGCATACATAAAAATTAATGTGAATTATCCCAGTGTAACCCCGAAAGCTTAATTCTGTAATGCTAACTGGACTACAATTTAACTGTTCTGATGAAAACTGTGTAATCATTGTGCTTCATTAGTATTCGGTTGAATCGGCATCCTTCCGAAGCTTGTACTTGAGTCTCTCTTAAAGAGTGAAGGCATTAGAACCGCAGGCCCACGTTGCTTGGAAGATTCGGTAGTGGAAGAGATGCGAATGGCATCCACAAGAAGACACAATAATATCGCTGCCATGGTAGCACTATATAGGAAGAATGTTGCGTGGAAACTCCCAGTCGCATCAGAAAGCCAACCTGACAAGGAATCAGACAAAACCAAAAAATGTCATTTCTTAAAGAAACCACATCCAATCATTCTATCATTCTTGTATCAACTTCGAGGGTCCTCGTACTTGTGGTAACTGCTAAGATATGAATGCACTCTAATTTGACTTCAGAGATGATTTTAAAGATGACATCGCATGAAACAGCTAGGTCTTTAATTACAGTCAAGACGTCATGTAATTCGTCTGGCTTTGGGTATACCGAGTATAAGTTGTCTATGTACATAATATACGTCCCTTGGAACCATTGAACCGTGGATTTCAACGCCGTGACGAGTTGCTGAACATTATCAAAGTCTCATGAAAGTGCATTGAAATGACTTACCTGATACAGTATCTCCAATGGCAGCTGCTACTCCACTCAGAAACGTTTGCCAGCCCAACACACTGACAAATTTGTCGTCACCAAAAGGTAGACACCTCGTCATGACAAATATCCCCTCAATGGCGCAACCCATTCCGGATCCCACGACAAAGGTAGTGAGAATCTGACCCACGAATGGAGACACGAAGGGTTCCAGGGCGAGTCCTACTGCAGTTACGCTCACAGCTATTCCTTCAGCGCTACGGACCGATATCCACTTCACATGCAAAGCCAGAGCACACAGAACCAGTCCAACCAGGTTCCCAACCCCCCAAGCTGTAGTCAGGAATGATGCCTCCCTGGTGCTCAGACCAAGCGCCAGACCATTAGGTACTATGTAGACAACCACACCACCGTAGCCAATATTGTACAACATTCTCATAGTTGCTACAATAATGAATTCAGCACTCACGAAGACCTCGAGACACAGTACAGAGAAAACTGAATTCCAGAGGTTGGATATCTTGGACTTATTCGGTTTGACCTCCTCCGAGGATTTACCAGGAGAGTTGATACCATCAATTGTGAGTTGCTCCTCGTGATCGGGTACCGCTTGGTATGAGATCGGCGGCCTTCGTATCAACATTCCTCCTACAACAAGATGAAAACCAACGCCACCGAGGAGGAGCATTGCTCCTCGCCATCCATACGTATCCACGAGAACTTGGGTTATTGGACCGAGCAGCATCATACCGACTGGCGATCCGGTAAGCACGATAAAAACTGCGAAAGGATACTTCTCCCGGAAGTAAAAAGCAAGTTTGGCATGGGTGATCTCCACCGCAAACGTGACCCCTATTCCTGTTAAGTAGAAGAAAGAAAATACAATAATAATTTGTAAGACACCTGAAATATATAGGGCCTACACACCTTATGAAAAAAATTGCTGGATGGAATTCCAAGGTTCTAAAACCTTCCCCGACAATCTTGCCCAGAGATGAATCATTCTGCATGTTGACACTTCACTGCTGTTGAGATGCCTACTGCGACGAATGCACACTCATCTTATCTGTCTTTTTGAACTTCTTATTGATACGTGATAGTTCTATTGATATTATAGGCCTGAGACCTAATGACGTCACGCTTTCTTTACATGTGCGCTTTCCTATGTGGTAGACGGTCCCTACTTCGTCTGGCATCCCGACTTCGCTCCCATAGGAAAGCGCATATGAAACAAAGCCATTACGTCATTAGGTCTCAGGTCTACTGCTTGAAGTATTTGTGCACCATTCTTACCAGCGATAACAACAAGGGCAAGAGCCAAGATGGCGACACTGTGCGTTAAAGCGGACACCACCAGACCAACTCCGTAGAGTGTACCGCCAACAATAATCAAGAAGCGACCGCTAAGTTTGCGTGCCAGAGCAGCGGCAAGGGGTGCTGAAGGGAAACAAAAGGGGAACGTTATATTACTGAATAAATTTACATGTACTTTGTTTTATCTACTCGATCTTTGACAATAAGATAGAAAGTGTATGTCTACCAACCATATTACTGTAGAGAAAAAACTAACAGAAGTTTAATCCTTGTTAATCAGTATTCAATTACATGTATATTCTCTAACCTTCAACCACTAATCTCCTGGCATATATTAATACCCCACCATATGACAGAATTATGTAGAATACGCAAATGTGTGTGTTTCATCCTGAATGTTGCACTAATATCCGTTTCCAATAGTACTTATGTTGTGATAAATGCCTGTAGGCTGTAGAAATTCGGTGTTTTTTACCCCATCAATGCACGAAATGGAACACGCGTTTCTAAGCATGACCACACACAGTAAAGGCATCACACCTTCAAAAATTGATGTGACCAACAGTTTGTGAGATTTTGCCTAAATTTGTGCGATTTTAACCAAATATGTCTTGCTCAGTGCTTGCACAACATTATCTAAAATGCCCTGTCAGCTTTGGTGCTTTATACAAGAGCATGTATTGTGTTGTTAGGCCTATGATATGTTGTCAGTGTAAACAAAAATGCATCACAAAGACGACCTAAGGAATTAGACAGCATCTCACTTACTGCCATGTTATTACGACGTGTTTGCCCTCCTGAAACATGCACCAAAGTCTTTACAAAACTACTTTAAAAGAAGGAAATTATTAAAAATTGCCTTACATAGGATAAACTGTACTGCATAGTGTAGCGAGACTATGGAGCCGACGACCCACAACTCCGTACCGAAATCCTCCTTCATAGAAGTGATCAAAACTCCCAGAGCTTTCAGGTTGCCGAAAAAGACGAACTCTACCATGAAGCAGGCCAGAACGACCGCCCAGCCCCAACCTCCTTCTCGGTAACTCGGACTAACCGTCGCCATTATTTCCCACTCAGTGATGATACAGGAAGCTCACTCTGAACTGACTCCTCAAGGATGGGAACGGTCACTGGTGATGGTTTGGCAAGAACCTTCACCGATCTATGACCTGCCTCGTGTCGTTGTTCTCGTGTAGCCAAGCGCAACAGTTTGTCCAAAAATATTTCTGGCCTTGTCGGAGCGTACGTAATGCGAGTTTTCAACAGATTTATATCCACACATTTTCATTGGCACATGTCACTGTTTTCCTTTCGAGTGAAGATGTATACAGCCATATGGTTGCGAAGGCAAAGCGTTAGTCGTTGTCGAGGAAAACTAACAGAAGTTTAATCCTTGTTAATCAGTATTCAATTACATGTATATTCTCTTACCTTCAACGACTAATCTGCTGGCATATATTAATACCCCACCATATGACAAAATTATGTAGAATACGCAAATGTGTGTGTGTTTCATATCTGACAATTGTGTTTGGTACTCTCAATCTTTTGCGTGCCTTACACTGCGTTTCGCCGTAGAGAAGTATCAATCAATACAGCAAGTTCCAATTAGAAATGTTGGTCAAAAGTTATATTACCACTATAAAGTACTTCAGATGTATGTGTGTTTAATAGCTCCATGGTACAAGCATTGCATTTTCTTTGTGGTGCTCTGAACAAAAAGGTCCACATTGACCAGGTAGCAGAGACCTTGTGCTGTGCTGCATGATGTTAAACACGTACGCTTATAACTGGCTGGGTGCCATGGTCGCAGATAATGGCCCTCGTCCATGCCGGGGGCCATTATCCGCGTCAAGGCACCAAGCCAGTTTTAAACGTACTTGTTTAAAACCGGCCAAGCACCTATTCATTCCATTAGTATAGTTTTTTTTATAGTACATGTACATTTAATATAGTACGTTAAATATTTATGTTTTTTGAACATCTTAAAATAATGTTCGTACATATATTTTCCAAAAGGCTCAAGTTTAATTCTGTTACGCTAACTGCACTATACAATTGAACCTTTGTCATTAAAACTGTGTAATCATTGTGCTGAATTAGTATTCAGTTGAATCGGCATCCTTTGGAAGATTATACTTGAGTCTCTCTTAAAGAGTGAAGGCATTAGAACCGCAAGCCCACGTTGCTTGGAAGATTCGGTAGTGGAAGTGATGCGAATGGCATCCACAAGAAGACACAATAATATCGCTGCCATGGTAGCACTATATAAGAAGAATGTTGCGTGGAAACTCCCAGTCGCTTCAGAAAGCCAACCTGACAAGGAATCAGACAAACCGAAAATGTCATTTCTTAAAAAAACCACATCCAATCTTTCAATCATTCTTGTATTAATTCGAGGGTCCTCGTGCTTGTGGTAACTGCTAAGATATGAATGCACTCTAATTTGACTTCAGAGATGAATTTAACTATGACAGCTCACTCGGAAACAGCTTGGTCTTTATTGATAGTCAAGACGTCCTGTAAGTCGTATGGCTTTGGGCATACCGAGTATAGTTGTCTATATACAGAATGTAAGTCCCATGGAACCTTTATACCGTTGATTTCAACGTTGTGACGAGTAACTGAACATATATCAAAGTCTCATAAAGGGGAATTCATTGCATCGATGGATTATACTGAAAGGATTTAAATGACTTACCTGATACAGTATCTCCAATGGAAGCAGATACTCCACCCAGAAATGTTTGCCATCCCAACACACTGACAAATTTGTCGTCACCGAAAGGTAGACACCTCGTCATGACAAGTATCCCCTCGATGGCAGATCCCATTCCAGCTCCCACGACGAAGGTAGTGAGAATCTGACCCACGAATGGAGAGACGAAGGGTTCCAGGGCGAATCCTACTGCAGTTACGCTCACAGCTATTCCTTCAGCGCTACGGACCGAAATCCACTTCACATGCAAAGCCAGAGCACACAGAACCAGTCCAGCCAGGTTCCCAACCCCCCAAGCTGTAGTCAGGAATGATGCCTCCCTGGTGCTTAGACCAAGCGCCAGACCATTAGGCACCATGTATACAACCATACCACCGTATCCAATACTATACAGCATTCTCATAGTTGCTACAATAATGAATTCAGCACTCACGAAAACCTCGAGACACAGTACAGAGAAAACTGAATTCCAGAGGTTGGATATCTTGGACTTATTCGGTTTGACTTCCTCCTTGGATTTACCAGGAGAGTTGATACTATCAATTGTGAGTTGCTCCTCGTGATCGGGTACCGCTTGGTATGAAATCGGCGGCCTTCGTATCAACATTCCTCCTACAACAAGATGGAAACCAACGCCACCGAGGAGAAGCATTGCTCCTCGCCATCCGTACGTATCTACGAGAACTTGGGTTATTGGACCGTATAGCATAATACCGACTGGAGATCCGGTAAGCGCGATGAAAATTGCTAAAGGATACTTCTCCCGGAAGTAAAAAGCAAGTTCGGCATGGGTGATCTCCATCACAAACGTGACCCCTATTCCTGTTAAGTAGAAGAAAGAAAATACAATAATAAATTGTAAGATACCATATATGGCCTCACTACCTTATAAAAAGGGGGCTGGATGGAATTCGAAGCTTCGAAATCCCTCCCCTGAAAACAATCTTGCCCAGAGTGGATTAGTCTGCATTTTGACACTACACTACTGTCGAAATGCCTACTGGGACGAACGCACTCTCATCTTTTCTGTCTTTTTGAACTGCTTACTAATACGTGATTGTTCTTTTGATTTTCTTTGTTTTTAAATGTTTTAAATATTTTTTACCACTCTTACCAGCGATAACAACAAGGGCAAGAGCCAAGATGGCGACACTGTGCGTTAAAGCAGACACCACCAGACCAACTCCGTAGAATGTACCGCCAACAAGAATCAAGATGCGACCGCTAAAATGGCGTGCCAGAGCAGCGGCAAGGGGTGCTGAATGCAAAACAGAGAAACAAAAGGGGAATAGACTGCAGAATATTAATGAATGAGATTACATGTACTTTGTTTTATCTATTCTTTGACAATACGATAAAAAGTATATTGTTATACTTTTGTCTTGAATACTGTATTTTCATTGGCCTAGAACGATCACGTGTTAAGTTCATAAAAAAAGTCTAGCACACTACCTGTGGGATATCACGTACGTGATATCCCATAGGGAGTGTGCTAAGTGGACGTACAGTGTGAAACGCTTCTATCGTTGGTACCCACGCTATTTTCACCACGTTTTCACACATGAGTGGGAGCAGTGAACAAGCAGACGATCAGCTGTTTCGAGCACGAGACATGCATGTGAGTTGGCGTTCGATTGTCATGTTTGTTGCGTTTACTGCTGTTTTTTTTTGGTGGTGTTTTTTTTTTCACATCAAAATCCAAAGAATCAAAGACAGAGGAATTGTTGACTGCTGTGATGTGGGATATGACGTTTTGAACACCCTCGGGGCGCATAGCACCCTCGCGCTCCTCGATCGGGAGTTCAAAACGACATATCCCAAATCGCAGCAGTCAACAATATTATTGTTAAATATCTACCAACGATATCACTGCAGACAAAGCAAACAAATTAAACAAACGTTCAATCCTTGTAAATGTATATGAGTTTCTCTAATCTTCAACCACTAACCTGGTGGCATATTAATAGCCATTATGACAGAATTATGTAGACTACTCAAATGTGTGTTTCATATCTGACAGTATTTTTTTTTGGTATTCTCAATCTGATCCCGTGCCTTATTATTATATTATTGAAACGTGCACCAAAGTCTTAACAAAACTAAGAAGGAAATAATTGAAAATTGCCTTACATAGGATAAACTGTACTGCATAGTGTAGCGAGGCTATGGAGCCGACGACCCACAATTTCGTACCGAAATCCTCCTTCATAGAAGTGATCAGAACTCCAAGAGCTTTCAGGATGCCGAAAAAGACGAACTGTAGCATGAAGAAGGCCAGAACGACCGCCCAGCCCCAGCCTCCTTCTCGGTAACTCGGACTAACCGTCGTCATTATTTCCCACTCAAAGATGATACAGGAAGCTCACTCTAAACTGACTCCTCAAGGATGGAAACGGTCACTGGTGATGGTTTGGCAAGAACCTTCACCGATCTATGGCCTGCCTCGTGTCGCTGTTCTCGTGTAGCCGTGCGGAACAGTTTGTCCAAAATTATTCTGCTCTTGTCCGAGCGTATAATAACTGCGTTTCCATGATCTCATTTAAGCCCGTTTTGTGGAAGTATTTTGTTTAGCCCTAAACACACAGACCTTACAACACACTGCCGGACGCAAAACGGACTAAAATGCGATAACGGAAACGCGGCTTAATACTCGGGTTAACACGGGTGATTCCTGAGCGACAATTCTTCCCGAGCGCCTGGACGTCAAGAGTAAATCCTCGGGGAACCTTGGGCATGCTTGCTTATGTGCCAGACACGACGTCGGTTATTCTGCACTTATATTCCGCAGGATATTCGTGATGGCGAATACGTTTCAGTGACAGTTATGCCTATACACGCCTACACACGATCGAAAGGACAAGAGTGACACGCTCCAACGAAAACTATATGAAATCTGTTGAAAACTCGCCATTTTCATGTAGAACAATCGGAGAATTGTTATGGTACATGTATTCATAGTTGATACTTTTAGAAGTGAATAACGTTGGACTTATTGTCAGTTTAAAAGTACGGTCTATCATTGATAAACCTGGTATTGATGGTCATCATAAGCCTGACCATCGGGCTGTAGGTCATGGAGAAAGGGTATTACATGCATGGGGATATATCCTTCTGTTTCGTTGTGTAAACTTGTTTTTGTCGATTTTGTAGAACTACCGTGGCGATTGTCAGATAAATTCAGATTATAAATTAATTCACAAGATTGCATTAATGCATAAAACACCGATTTAATGTTTAAACATGTATTCAAACATTCCCTACGTATTGAGGCAAACTAAGTAAAACGTATAAGGGGATACCAGCATTCTTGTCGGGGAATAGGTTGTATTATCTCTGTAACTCTTCAGGACTCGTATCCTTAAACACCACTTATTGGCAATCGAGGAGAGTCGGGTTGGCGCCGGTTACTCTCCTCGCCTTCCACCGCTATGGCCCAGGTTTTGATTCCTGTCCGGGCCACGTGGATTAGGTTTTCAGTCCCTACCTGATCCCATTGGATTTACTCAGAATATTCTTCTAGGGTTTTCCTCCCACCTCTAAAACTGTAATTTCTTCTAATTGTCTCCTCTCTACAGGTTTCTTCAGGTTTCTTCAGGCCTGCGAGCTATAAAAGGCACTTTTTAGGAAACCTTGTTTTTATAACCAGAAGAAATTAGCTAAAATATAAAAAATAGGGTTACATGTAATATGTTTACAGCCCGTAATGAAAGTATGTTGTTTCTTATTGTCTATTTTTGTTTTGATTAGGGAATAACAGTGCGAGGACCCAGTCTTCACTGCGTCACGGAGATAATGGCCGGGTTGAGGGATGGTCGCTGTTAATGGACCAAGCCGGATATGACCGTGGTGTGAGAGACGTGTTTACAGAAATTAAATCGCAGATTCAAGCTTTCGTCGTACGCGTAAATATCCTCAGTTCAATCGTAAGTGCTCTCATCGAATTATTTTGTACCCCTTTTTTTCTGGTTTTAAACACTTTTTCTCCGGTGCCATGACATTGTGTTTGCTCCAATGAAATCTGGCCCCTTGTATCCTTTAATTGGTTAAACCCTCACACGTGACCAATCACTCTCCTAATTATCTTCACTTGGGCATTCGGCTGTAATTTCAGAGAGTTCTAATTCCACACTACATTAGTATTATTATTATTTTTTATTATTATTATTATTCCTACAAATGTACTATTAGGGAGACACGTTAACGTAGAAATTTCGATAGTAGGGAGACACGGGCTTAATAGGGAGACACCTAGGTGTCTCCCTATTGGCGCAGCCCCCCCCCCCCCACCCCCCCCCCCCCCCTGTAAAGGAAAAAATTTGCTGTCAAAATTAGGTTGTATTTGTTGCTCGTGGTCTAATTAGTAAAAATACCGAAATTCGTGGAAAAAGGTCAAGGAAATATTAGGTTAGGGCACATTTAAATCGGAAAATTTTCGTTTATTTTATTTATTCATGCAGCCAACGAAAAAGAATACAAATATTTAATAGACATAGACTACAATACATCCATCGTAACCAAGAGAAAACAAAGGGAGTAAAAAAGCTAATCACCAAGATCGGCATGGGGAAACAAAAGCAAGTACGCGCCACGCGAGCGCCAATCCCCATATAGGGAGATGTTTAGTACTACTCGCGCGATCCGAGGCACGTACCATAAACATAAACCATCAATCATAAACAAAGTCAAATTGATAAATTTTGACTTGTTTTGGTGTTTATTAATGGAAATATATATGTGCTGGGCTGGTATTACACGAGTACGCTTATAATCGGCAGGGGCCCGGTCGCAGGTAATTGCCTTCGCCTTTTGTTAGGGTCATTATCCGCGTCCAAGCCCCAAGGCGGTTTATACGTACTTGTTTAAAACCGGCCAAGTATTTATTTATTCCCTTTGTAAAGCTTACTGTTAATATTTGTTGAACATCTTAAACGCTAACTAGAATACTTTATGATTAAAACTGTGTAATCATTGTGCTTAATTAGTATTCGGTTGAATCGGCACCCTTTCGAAGCTTGTACTGGAGTCCTTCTTAAAGAGTGAAGGCATTAGTACCGCAAGCCCACGTTGCTTGGAAGATCCGGTAGTGGAATAGATGCGAATGGCATCCACAAGAAGACACAATACTATCGCTGCCATGGTAGCACTATATAGGAAGAATGTTGCGTGGAAACTCCCAGTCGCATCAGAAAGCCAACCTGACAAGGAATCAGACAAAACCAAAAATGCCATTTCTTAAAGAAACCACACCCAATCATTCTATCATTCTTGTATTAATTCGAGGGTCCTCGTACTTGTGGTAACTGCTAAGATATGAATGCACTCTAATTTGACTTCAGAGATGATTTTAAAGATGACATCGCATGAAACAGCTAGGTCTTTAATTACAGTCAAGACGTCATGTAATTCGTCTGGCTTTGGGTATACCGAGTATAACTATAAGTTGTCTATGTACATAATATACGTCCCTTGGAACCATTGAACCGTGGATTTCAACGCCGTGACGAGTTGTTGAACATTATCAAAGTCTCCCGAAAGTGCATTGAAATGACTTACCTGATACAGTATCTCCAATAGCAGCTGCTACTCCACTCAGAAATGTTTGCCATCCCAACACACTGACAAATTTGTCGTCACCAAAAGGTAGACACCTCGTCATGACAAATATCCCCTCGATTGCGCAACCCAATCCAGCCCCCACGACGAAAGCAGTGAGAATCTGACCAACGAACGGAGAGACGAAGGGTTCCAGGGCGAATCCTACTGCAATTACGCTCACAGCTATCCCTTCAGCGCTACGGACCGAAACCAACTTAACATGCATAGCCGAAGCCAACAGAACGAGTCCAGCCAGGTTCCCAACCCCCCAAGCTGTAGTCAGGAATGATGCCTCTTTGGCACTCAGACCAAGCGCCAGACCATTAGGCACTATGTAGACAACCACACCACCGTATCCAATACTGTACAACATTCTTATGGTTGCTAGAATCATGAATTCAGCACTCACGAAGACCTCGAGACCCAGTGCAGAGAAAACTGAAGTCCAGAGGTTGGATATCTTGGACTTATTCGGTTTGACTTCCTTCTTGGATTGACCAGGAGAGTTGATACCATCAATTGTAAGTTGCTCCTCGTGATCGGGCACCGCTTGGTATGAGTTCGGCGGCCTTCGTATCAACATTCCTGCTACAACAAGATGAAAACTAACGCCACCAAGAAGAAGCATTGCTCCTCGCCATCCATACGTATCCACGAGAACCTGGGTTATTGGACCGAGCAGCATCATACCGACAGGGGTCCCGGTAAATGTGAGGAAAGCTGCTAAAGGATACTTCTCCCGGAAGTAATAAGCAAGTTCGGCATGGGTGATCTCCAACACAGACGCTACCCCTGTTCCTGTTGCGTAGAAGAACGAAAATAGAAATATGTTTTAAGATACCTGAACTTCCATATGAAGGGAAATTATAGGGCCTCAATACCCTCTAAAAGCTGCTGGATGGAATCCGAAGCTTTGAAATCCCTCCCCGAAAAAATTGGCCTGAGATAGATATTTCTGTTGAAACTGAGATGCCTACTGCAACGAACCTACTCTTCATCGTTTCTGCTGTCGGACTTCTTATTCTTACGTGATAGTTCTATTGACATTCGTTTTTAGAACTGTTTTGAGTATATTCGCACCACTCTTACCAGCGATAACAACAAAGGCGAGAGCCAAGATGGCAATACTGTGCGTTAAAGCAGACACCACCAGACCAACTCCGTAGAGTGCACTGCCAACAAGAACCAAGGCGCGAACACCAAATTTGGGTGCCAGAGCAGCTGCAAGGGGACCTGAGTGTACAGGAGAACAAAAAGGGAACCTTATATTAATTGCCTATTTGCCTCAGAAAGTGAAGGGACGCCATGGCTGCACGAAGGCCTAGGTCTTGGCCGATCATTACTAACACTAGCCCCATTTTAAAGAATAAGTTAAGACAGGATTAAGGTGCCAACCTGTTCGACAACGTGGTAACAATGGTATCAAGTCACACGGTTAACGGCATTTGTTTAATGAAGTCAGTATTCAATAAATATTACGCGCATTTCTCTAATCTTCAACACTTCTGACAAATCTTCTGACACACTGGCATCGGCCTACTAACCGTACCACAGAAGTTTGTAAAGAATGAATATGCGATCGATATCAATTATCAAAGTGGGGCATCATTATTATCCTTAGTGGTGTCAATCTGTGCCGGCGATTTTGGGGATGCGGGATTATCAAAATCCAAATTGCCCGGCCGTGGAAATTTGGAAAGCGTGGGAGGGTTGGGGGAGGAGGGTGTCACGGACACCACGTTACACTAGGGGCGCTCTTCCGGATATAGATGAATATCAAAATATGTATACTCGCGCTTACACCAAAACGGCGTATTTTAAAACCCTTTGTTCATTGTTTCTCCACTTTTTCAGTTCCACTGAATACATTTTGGTTGTTGGGATGTTCGACAAAATACAGTGCCCCAAATTCGCGCTGCCCAGTATTCGCAATTCGCATATCTGCCCAAAATCTTTCTCGGCTCGTATCTTTTTGCACGCACCGCAAACCGACGTCAAATCACCGTCAATTGACCGATCGTTACATCGCCTTTCTTCCCAATGCAGTTATGTGGAAATCAAAAGCTTTTCGGAGATGTAATTAAAAGAAATCAAAGAGAGAGTGAAATTTTGCCGTACTGACTAGATACAAAACATAACATTATTGAATGGCCCAAAACTAATAAAGACATCGCTACGAGTTTCCGATCAGTATCGCCGTCCGCCCCAAAACGTGAAAGACAACTACGGTCGACTTTCAATAAACAACAGAGGGCGTAATCAGAATTAAGGAGCACGAAAAACGACTTGCGCCTTACATCGCGTTATTATTTTACGATCTCTTTCGCCGAAATGCAGATTTCAGTACCGAGTTGTTTGTTGGAATGAATATGCTTTAAAATATATTTCTTTCGTAATAAGAACTAATCGTAATATTTAAGGTACCCAACAATTTCATGCAATATGCATTAGGCCGATAACTATTTTTAGTTAATTGAAATGAGGTGTATGTGGTCATGTGTCGCGGCAGTACGATCGTCCACGGTATGATCAAAACCGCGTATAATTAATTGATTGATATCGCAGGTGTATTAGAATCAGCAACAAATGCCAGAAAACATTGTTACAGAAAGGTGATTTTGTTATTTTTTGCTGGAGGGGTCATTTCAAATGCATTTTATTCCGTGTACTTTAAAAAAATACAGCCACGTCACACTAAAGTTATATTGCATTTACTTCTGTTTTTTGAGAATCTGTATAAATTTGTAAAAATGTTATGTAATCAGCTTGGTTGATTTTCAGCAAAAAATAATCTTCGAACTCTTTCCAGGCATTGGTTAACTTCGTAGATTTTCGACAAAAATACATTAAAAGATATGAAAACTTGTTTGTACAACGTAATACAAAATGCGTTGTCAATCAATTTCAGCTTTGAATGGGCGCGTTCGCCTCGGGTGCTATATGCGCCCCTCGGATGTTATATCATATCCCACATCAAAGTAGTCAACAATTGTTAAATATAAAATGAAGAAGAATTACACCTCTCAATTGATGCCATGCCATTACGTTTTGTCTGACCCCAATTAAAATGCTCTTTAAACAACATTACTTTCAACAGAATGAAATTACAAAAAGTTGACTTACACATGATAGACTGTACTGCATAATGTAGCGAGACTATGGAGCCGACGACCCACAACTCCGTACCGAAATCCTCCTTCATATAAGTGATCAGAACACCTATAGCTTTCAGGCTGCCGCAAATGATGAACTCAGTCATGAAGCAGGCCAGAACGACCGCCCAGCCCCAGCCTCCTTCCCGGTAACTCGGACTAACCGTCGCCATTATTTCCCACTTAGTGATAATACGACGATTATTCCCAAGCGCACGAACGTCAAGTGTACCCTTTGGTAGGTTTATGCGCCAGACACGACTTTAGTTAGGTTAATTTCCTATGCTCGAAAGTGACAAGCTGCTAGACACGATCGAACGCACCCATTCTAAGTCCGGAATACTTGTTTCATTTGTTGAAAGCTACCCATTGTCATGTTCATAGCAAGCAGGGTATTGAAATGAATAACCTCATGAAAACACATAGCTAGAGTTTTCACTGGCCTCACCATCGGGCTGCTGTAGATCATGGAAAAAGGGAGTAAAACGTCCCGGGGTCACGGTATATCCTTCTATTTCGTTTTGTAACTTACATGGGCGTTGTGAGGGGGAAGGGAGAGGGCAGGGGCTACCCATTCCCCCGGAAAAGCCACCCCAAAAAGGGGGAAAGAGGTGCGAAGTCATATGGGTTGGTGAGGAATGTCCCTGTCCCCTCGAAAAATGATAAATCGAGAATATGCTAGAAAAATACAGGGATTTCGGGAGGAAAACGGCTACATCCGCCACTGGTGATTGTCCAAAAAATATCGGATATAAATTAATTCATATATGCATGAAAACACCGATATTAATGCTAACACATGTGTGTTAGCATGTGCACATGTAATTCAATTGTTCTCCAGATATTGAGCCAAACTTACTATAAGAGGTATATTACCAGGATCATTGTTCGGGATCGGGAGTATACATTGTATTATCTTTGTATTTCACTTCAGGACTCTTAATTTCCTAAAACAACACATTTGCACCTGAGTTGAATAGGGTTATTATGGCTATACAGTCCGTAATGTCCGTTGTTTCATATTGTCTCATTTCATTTGGTAACTTCACATTACCCAGGTCTTTGGTTTTAGTGACTATCCATCTGAATTAATTACGGACTGGTACAAAAGTAAGAGCTCTCTTCGTCGAGGGGGTTAACAAAGGTCTAATATTTACCCCCTTTTTTCCTGCCTGGTCATTTTACAAAATAAGACGACTTTCTGATTAATATCAAGCCTGTTCCGGTTTAACATGACTTACCGCTTACTGAATAAATTCAAGATCAAAGAAATATTTGAGATCCGTGTAAGAAACAAAAATACCCTTAAATGGAAAAAAATAGTAAAATATCAAGTTCTAATAGGTGGTAGCTTAGTCTTTTTAATAGTAGATAACATATTTGTGTTGGTGTTACAACTTAAGAATAGTGCATGCATACATAAAAAATTAATGTGAATTATCCCACTGTAACCCCGAAAGCTTAATTATGTAATGCTAACTGGACTACAATTTAACTGTTCTGATTAAAACTGTGTAATCATTGTGCTAAATTAGTATTCGGTTGAATCGGCATCCTTTCGAAGCTTGTACTTGAGTCTCTCTGAAAGAATGAAGGCATTAGAACCGCAAGCCCACGTTGCTTGGAAGATTCGGTAGTGGAAGTGATGCGAATGACATCCACAAGAAGACACAGTAATATCGCTGCCATGGTAGCACTATATAGGAAGAATGTTGCGTGGAAACTCCAAGTCGCATCAGAAAGCCAACCTGGCAAGGAATCAGACAAAACCAAAAAATGTCATTTCTTAAAGAAACCACATCCAATCATTCTATCATTCTTGTATCAATTCGAGGGTCCTCGTACTTGTGGTAACTGCTAAAATATGAATGCACTCGAATTTGACTTCAGAGATGATTTTAAAGATGACATCGCATGAAACAGCTTGGTCTTTAATTAGAGTCAAGACGTCATTTAATTCGTTTGGTTTTCGGTATATTAAGTCCCGTGGAACCATTGAACCGTTGATTTCAACGTTGTGGCGAGTAACTGAACATTTATCAAAGTCTCATAAAGGGGAATTCATTGCATCGATGGATTATACTGAAATGATTGAAATAACTTACCTGATACAATATCTCCAATGGCAGCTGCTACTTCACTCAGAAATGTTTGCCAGCCCAACACACTGACAAATTTGTCGTCACCAAAAGGTAGACACCTCGTCATGACAAGTATCCCCTCGATAACACAAACCCATACAGGCTCCTACGATCAACGCGAGCACAATCTGACCAACGAATGAAGCGACGAAGGGCTGCAAAATTAATCCCAGGACAGAAACAATCACAACAAGAACCTCAGCATTTTGAACCGAAAGCACCTTGATGTGCAAAGTCTAAGCAGAGAAAAGCATTCCAGCCAGGTCGCCAACCCCCCAAGCTGTAGTCAGAAATGCCGCCTCGCTGGTTGTCAGACCAAGCGCCAGACCATTAGGCACGACGTAGATGACCGATCCGCCGAATGCAATACTATACAGCATTCTTTTAGCGGCCAGAATCACGAAGTCAGCACTGAAGAATACCTCGAGACATAGTGCCGAGAAAACTGAATTCCAGAGTTTGGATACCACTGACTTAGTTGGTTTGGCTTCATCTGTAGATATACCAGGAGAGTTTTTACCATCAATTATGTGGTGCTCTTCGTGGTCGGGGACTTCTTGATACGAAGCTGTCGGCCTTCGTACCAACATTCCTCCTACAACAAGATTGAAACCAAACCCACCTAAAAGAAGCATTGCTCCTCGCCAACCGTACGTATCCACGAGAACTTGGGTTATTGGTCCGTACAGCATCATACCGACTGGAGTACCAGTAACCGCAATGAAGACTGCTAGGGCGTACTTCTCCTGGAAGTAGACAGCTACTTCGGCATGGATGAGATCCAATACACAGGCTATCCCTGTTCCTGTTAGAGTGTAGAAAGAAAAGATTCTTGTTAATTACATGGTATCGTTCCGTCTGCGATCCGGTTAAGGATTGGTATTTGTTCCCAAACGATAAGACGGTGCTTGTGTAGACTTACAAGCTGAGGAGATTGAAACGCTTTTTCCACAGCACGCCTCAAGGCAACTTCATCCCTTGATGCACCATCTGACACGGGGCTACTTTCATTACATTTTGAATAGGCCTATTTACGTTACATGCGTTCACGGATGTACTGGTTTTTCTCGACCTAAAGAGAGACCGACCAGTGCGTCGTTGGTCTGATGACCGATGACGGAGGGGTCAACTTAATTTTAACGCTCACGTATAGGGCTCTGCGTTCGACGCACTGGCTTGACGTCCCAGCGTAATGAAAAAGTAGGCAAATCAGACTATATACGGGAAAGGCGGCATCGTTGGGGCACGCACATAATTATAGCAACCAGGATTTTAGATACACTGAGGGCGTTGCCTATCATGTTAGGTCTCGAGTTATTCAGTGAGAATGAGATCATTCAATCACCAGGAGCGGGAGCCAGTCTAAAGTGGGGCTCAAACCGCGCTGGTTCCCGAGCACGTGTGCCTTGAGAAAGTAACGTAGCCTACCAGGAAAGTCGCTCAGTACTTTGGCACTGAGGGCGGGGTGTTGTAATCCGTATGAAATACATGTACTCTGCGGAGAACTTGTAAGATTTCCATTCTCCGTACCTGACTTAATATGTCGTCTTAATTTCTTTCAAACGTTGTACCAGTCTTAACAGAAACAACGGCCAGTGAAATAGCCAAGATGGCGACACTGTGCGTTAAAGCAGACACCACCAGACCAACTCCATAGAGTGCACCACCAACAAGAATCAAGAAGCGACCGCTAAGTTTGCGTGCCAGAGCAGCGGCAAGGGGTGCTGAAATGGGAAGAACATTTGGAGATCTAATTAATTATATTTGTATACAAGCGGCTGGCATCAAATACCGTCGGAGTGATTAACATCACCCCGACGCAAACATCCATGAAAGTTTCATTGCAGTACCCGCTGCTACATCAGACCAGCCAGTCGACCGCGGCGGGCTCGGTGGTCGAGTGGTGGGGCGTCTGCACTAGTGGGCATGAGGTCGATGGTTCGAGTCTCACCGAGTGATCTTGTTTCCACGGCTCGGGACAACGAGTATACATAATTTCTAGAATGCGTCGGTGAAAGGCAAACCCAATTGAGTTAAAAATTTATCACCCGTTCAAAATGAATAATTATGCAGGTAGTAAAAAGACAATGGAAGGCTATTACTATTTATTATTCTATTTTTCTGAAAATTGCATTGCAAAGATCCAAAGTTCTCCCACGGATAAATCGTACGAATTGTAAATTTGTCACACGTGTGAATCATATTTTTTGAACAATTTGTTTTAATTTCCCGATGAAAATGTCTAAATTTCATTAAAATGAGGCAGTTTTCTGCATAAGCCCTTTTGGCTTAAAAGATGTTGGTGATTATAGCGTTGATCGCGCGTAATAGGGCGTATAAGCGCCCATATAATAATGCGTCCATCTGCCAGGCACACGACGTGATTATAATAAATACATTTTTACTGTAGGCCTAGACTCAATATTATGGTTAATTCAGCGGTTTAAATTACTTGTTCTATACACTCTTGAACAATATTGCTGACAGCATGAAGCCTTACGTGTCCTGATCCACGAACACTATAGTGTCGTTTTTGTTTTTGTTGTATTAATTTTTGTTTTCAACGGTTTCTGTCGAATTTCAGATATATTGTCACGTAAATCACAGTCAATTATGAGACGCAATTTTAAATCAGTGCAAAATGTTTTTCTGGAGTTATCGTCTCCACAAAGAGTGCTCTATTAAATTTGTAATTCGAATTAAATTTTTCGCGATTAGTACACTTTATTTCCTGAAATCATATTTAATTTATTCTTGAATGGTTCCCATCGATTTTCAAACCATTTGTGTCCCATATCCCAAACAATTATTGAACGAAATGTCAATTCAGTGCACTGTGCTGTTTCTTGAGTTATCGTCTCCACAAAGTCCATCACTTGATGCCAACTTCATTCGGGCAGATCGAATTCACGTTGACAGAAGTCTTTGCGGTGTAGTGACCAGTATTTGTGTAGTGCGCCCTCTTCTGGAAGAAATTGATGTTGGTCAAATGCACGGGAGTGTCCTTCAGTTTTTGTTTTTGTTGTATTAATTTTGTTCTTCGACGGTTTCTGTCGAATTTTAAATTTATTGTTGGACCAATAATTATGGGACGTAATTCCAATTCATTGCAATATGTTTTTTCTTGATTTATTGTCTCCACAAAGAGTGCTTTATTTTTGTTCAAATAAAAGTGATTGAATTTTTCGCGATTAGTACACTGTATTTCTTTAAATCATATTAAATGTAATCTTCAAGGGTTCTCGTCGATTTTTACAAGTTTTGTGTCGTATATCCCGAACAATTATTGGACGAAATTTCAATTCAGTGCAACACCTTGATCCGGTCTTAAAGTTTTCTTGAAAATGGGCTGTAGGGGGTGTAGCGTAGAAATTTTCACATAGTTTACGACAATGTGTTAGTAACGGCCGAACGCAACTTTAAAGTATCTCGTCCGTCAGTGTCTTGGTAAAAAAAAAAAAAAAAAAAAAAAAAAAAAATCGGCAGCACAAGTTGTTCGACCCCTTGAAAACTGTTTTCGCGGGTTTCTTTTGTATCATTGGCCCACAGCGGGGAGGCTTGTTACGGGGAAAAATCATGAATGGCGCACGCTCAATTCGGGCGTTACGAAAAAGGCACTTGAATAGAAATCTTTGCATCACGTGCAATCAATGGGTCTTTTTAGCAGACGATTCACGGCCGAAACGCCTATTCGGAGGGATTGCTCCGGGGGGGGGGGGGGGGGCTGGGGCGGGGATTGGGAGCACACAGCCGGCCAGTGACGGGACCTCCTATTTATTTTCGGGGGAGTAATTTGAAACCTAAGATTGTTAACATATGTTGACGTCACCTTTCTTCAACTAATGGGTTTTCATTCCTTAAAAGTTAACTTATGCTTCTTCTGCGCATGCACTGACGAGCAGAGGTAGCTGAGCGATCCCTTAAAAATAACCCAAAACACTAGGACAGACAAGAGAGTACACATGTAGCATGCGCGCCGCGCCGGGTCGTACGTACACACAGTACATACAGTACGCCATCACTAGTCGATATGACCGCCGTACCGTATTGTACCGAACCGTGATGTTGTCGTCTTTACAATAGTTTCCACGTGTTGCGAGCATTTCACCGAATATTTTGGATGTAACTGGACAGCAAGTTCTGCTTCCAAATATGCAGCCTCGAATTATTGGAAGTATGTGGCTTCTGTTCATTGGAATTTTGACGGTTTTTCGAGGGAGAGTTTTCGTTGAAGCCGAGGGTAAGTGATTTTTGGTGCGTGGGCGGTGAGCTTTGTTTTGGTGCCGAGACATTCTCGTTTGGCCCCCGTAGCTAGCTAGCTGTTCTTTGCATAACTCGATGGCTGTACTTTGAAGGTTCAATTCATGCACCTGTCGCCCGTCCGATAGGTACAATTCGAAGCAGTATGTCGATTCGTATGCTTGATTTTTTATGTGGCCATTGTGGCTCTGTTGCCTTTTTTGGGAAAGATTCCCGTATCTGACCATCACTAATTTTCCCCCTCATCTCAGTGTCTTATCAGCCATCAGAAAGTGATATGTCCTAAGAAGTAAAATGTCAAATTTAGCAGGGAAAATATTTAAGTATTTACTGAGAAAACACTTACACATTTTCAGACCAGTCTCATGGGGTTTGTGCACAGGGTGACAAGTGATGGCCAGATATGGGAATATTTCCCCTTTTTTGTTCTTTTGCATGATGTATTAAAGTTGAGTTGGTCAATGATTAGATCAAATCTGACATTGAAAAAAACTATAGCCTTAGTTATAGGCCTAATATTTTTTTGTTTAAAAATTCTGGTAATCGTGTAGTTTAGGACACCTCTGATGTTTAAAAATTCCGTTCATAAATGAAAACCCTGCCCTCTTTTTACAAAATTAAGCTATCTGGGATAATCTGATATTCAACACGGTATCTTAATCATGTTAGTGAGCTTTTTACATGATTCCAAACACATAAAGTGACTTTTCCTGCTTTGTATTACAACCAAATGTTCATGTAAATAAGTCCCAAAACATAAAGTGTCTTTTCATTCTCTTTTGAAGGGAATGGAGTCCTAAACTACATGATTACCAAAACGTGCCTGGAACTTATTGCCAACAATCCATTCAGCGGTAACTGTACCGTAAACTTTCCCTTGGCATTTTGCCAAGAATTGTAAAGGAGCGGGATCGCAGTAGTCACATGTGTTTTTGGAGACTGGCTATAGACTTATCAGTAACATTATTTGCAGAGGTGCAGATGGAAAAGCTTGACTGTTGGGGGGGGGGGGGTCTGAAATGTTACCATGTACATAATCAGAATAGGCCTTCTGTGAACTTGAGATACCGTAACCTTGTGAACAAACGCACAGAATCACATCTGTTTATACCCGATTAAGTTTTTTTCCCAGGGGGGGGGGGGGGGGGGGTTCATGGGTTCAAATGGACCAAAGGCAGATTTAAATAGATAATTGTAGAGTTCTCCGTTTTGTTTTATCTGTGCTGCGTTCTTCAAGGGCATTTTTTTTTAACCTACCGTGTAACTACATGTACATGGGTAAAAGTGTAAGTGTGTACAGTTTCCATGACATCCTACTCAATTATGTATTCAACATTCACACAAAGTGCCACTCAGTGCATTTTCAAAAGTTTTGCCACAACAGCTCAGCCAGAACGATGCTACCTGGGTCTTGTGTACTTTGGCTTTTGCCATAAAAACCCTCCTTTATTTGGGTGTCTTTGTTGCTTTCTGGATTTCTGCGATTATAAAACTTAGAAAATGGCTGGTAAAGAAGAGCCTTTCAATTAGATATTTTCCAGGGCTGCTTGGACACAAAAGAGAAGTACCTGTACACAGAAAACCAACATTTCCCACAGATCATTTACTATAGACTGGAATTTTCAGGATGAGACATTAAACAGTTGCAAAATTAAATGTTACAATTTCTTGGGGGGGGGGGGGGGGGTGGGCACTTGCTCATGTAGAAAGTGGATACTTTTTCCCAGATGTTTTTTTATTCTCATGATTTTCCATACATGTAGAAATTGCTGATGCAACCAGTAGGCCCGGTGCGTGTTTACATTCATTTCTATTTGTACATGTACAAATGTAGTCCTCCTTTTGAAACATATGTTGCACAGTTTCCCAACGCGTTGAACTTGCTACGATGTAATTCACCAATTTCAGATAAGGGTGTTTAAAATTACACTCGACGTGGACTAGTGACAACTATTTGTGGAAGGAAATCCTCATATAAATTATCACAAAGTGAGAGAGAAACTGACTGGGATCACTAAAAATATATATGCAGTTGCTCAGAGTAGTACTATTCATTGAAGGAAAATAGAAATTGAAACATATTTACTCAAGTGTACGTGTGTACATATTTTTTAAGGCTAAATATAGTACTGGACTTCCAATGCACGTCATGAGTTTTACCATAATGCAAATCACATTTTATTGTACCTGTTTAAAGATCTGCAATGATGATAAAAGTAACGCAATAAAAAAGTCAATTAATTAAGCCAATGTCAGTGTTGATGAATAAGGATGTATTTTGCCACTGGCAACTGATACCATTAAAGGGAATATACAACATTTGCAAACATCGAAAAATAAAATTACCAAGTTTTTACGAAATACCTTACTAGGATGTTGGTAAATGACAGTCAAAAGCATCCTATAAAATTATGGCACCTGGTGTGAAGTCATTTTCAAGAAAATGGTATTTTTGTATACGTTTCCAGCGTGGTCAGCCGACCACCGTTGGAAAAACCTAACTATTTTGCAACTACTGCTCCAAATTTAACATTTTTTATTCAGTTTAAATTTTGTTTGCTATTGGTTACATATTCATGAACAGGTGCAGGCCAGCTAGACTTGTTCCCTTACCTTAGGCCTACAATTTTCCGCATCTGGAAATTGATCTATTTTATCTTTAGTGGAGTCAGGGAACCAGACTACTTGAACATTTTTGATTTTCTTGGTTTTTCCAGCATTTTCGAACAAAAAACTTCAAACAAAATTTGATCTATTATACTTCCCCTTCAAATAGTTCATTTCTGAAAATTACAGCAAAAGCCATGATGTACATTCCCTTTAAGACATCACTCCAGCATACATTTTAAACATGAATATTATGTTGTAAATGCTCATGCCCACTTAAGTTTTTAATGAGTTACATGTAGACAGGCGTTTCAGGATAGGCATGGGGGGGGGGGTTATTGTGGCCAGATGAGGTTACGAGGACCCCCCCCCCTTCACATGCTAAGTGTAAGAACCATTCTCAATCCACAATATGTTTTAACTTTTTTCAGTTGCAAATCCATCATAATATCGTAAAACATGTTTGAATGGTGACTGAATCATTGATGTGTGTACATGTACATGTAGTACCTTTCCTTGTACAAAAATCACTTTATTGTTGGACACTAAAAATTGAGAGCCTCTGACTGACTGACTGAGTCACTGAGGACAAAAAGTGTCCAAAATGAGATATTTGGTCCAGCTCGAGTAAACAAGACTTGAAAGATCTACCCCAAATCTTTAGACTGTCAATTTTTTTCTGGCAACTCACACAACTCCTTGGAATTTTGTGTGTGTAACCTCTACAAATTTAGGCAGGAAAAAAATGCGCTGAATGACATGGGCGTTGACAGGATTTTTTCTAGAGGGGGGCAAAGCACATTTTCCCCTCCCAAATCACTATTTTTTCCAGCATTTTCCCGATTGATCATTTTTGGAGGGTGGGCAGGGATATTTGCGCCCCCCCCCCCCCCCGGGCCAACCCATGAAATTAGCAACAATATGATTTCACCCTCTTTTTTCCCCCCCTTTTTTTCCCTTCTTTTTTTTTTTTGGGGGGGGGGGGGAAGCACCCCTTGCCCCCCCCCCCTTGCCCCCCCCCCCCCTTGCGACTGCCCATGCTGAATGACGAAGTGCATTCTCATTGGGAGCCGAGCAGAGGAATATTTTTGGTTGACCCATATTTGCCTGGCTTGCAGCAAGTGCAATATTTTTGGCTAGCCCCTATTTGTAACTGGTATGTGGCCAATTACGATGGCTGCTAACAGGATTGCAGGACTGAGTAGGAAGTATTTGGTTAAGCCATTGATATCCTGAACAATCTCAGGGACCTCTAAGCTTTCTGCCAATCTGTATTAAAAACTTCCTGTAGTGTTGTTAAAAAGACAAAAACAGTGCAAACGCCATAGTTACAAGATTGCAAGTATACACACAAACAGCCCTCTGCAATTTTTGTTTCAACTCCAAAGCAATGATTGTAGCGGTATTTTAGAAATCTGAAAATTTAGTTGTGTCTATGCATTTGCAAGGTGGGGGAGGGGGGGGGGGGGATGATTTATGCACATTTTAACAACATGGGCTCTGTAGGGGTGTCATTGTGGGTGGGGTGGGCAAATGTCCCTCCCAACCCACCCTCTAAACATTTTTAAATTGAGCCAGAGAAAGTACGTACATGTACATGTACAAGGCTTTTGGGAAATAATGTGCTTTGCTCCCCTCTAGAAAAAAATACTGGCGAGGCCCATGTATAGATTTACACAGATGAAATGTATTTTGTTATGCATCAGTTGTGAGCCAAATCTTTAATCTCAATCTTAAGTCTAACTTTCCCGTGGTCAGAATATTAGCATTTAATGGTAATGTACATACCGTACATGTACAGAATGATCATTGACCCCGATCCCGTAACAAGAATGCAATGTCTGATGTGTTACACATTCCTTGAAGATGCTCTACGGACACCAAGACGTGGCTAATGCTCTTTAATTCTGTGGCCCCAAAAAGCTTGTTTTTCTGGACGGTTCTATTTTTAGGAAGGGCTGGAAGCCGCAATGTTGTTTTGATCTTCATGTGCATCAGTGAGGAACTGCTCGTGAAAAACCTGCCTGTAGTATCAATCACGTGAAGACTATCCAGGCCGTGAATTTGATGAGTTAGTCTGGGCTTCCTCGTTGAAGGACAGTGGCCCAGTTCAGACTGAAAAAAAAAAAAAAAACCGAAAGACTTAATTATCTTTACATTTACATTTATTCCATTTTCGGGATACATTTGTTACAACAATTACAAACAGTAATTATTTGTAAATGTTATGATTTTTTAATTCAAGAATGTTTATGACCGAGGCAGATAAAATTAATTGTGTTTGTGGTAACCCGACCTATCTGGATTGTTTGTGGCCAAATTGCGGACCTCAAACTTCATATTGACATATTTGGCTAAAACCTAAAATAAAGT